AACACCTAAACCACATAATCTAGGCCATCAGCAACATATCTGTAGCAGAGGCTTAACGACCCTTAATTTCCCCTCATGTTCGCGAAATATTGTATTTTAATGAGTCCCACCAGAACCCCTGGGTGTTTTCATAGAAAACCAGGCCTTTGGAAAACATTTTCCCTCTAGGCTCTATTCATTTCAAACGGGAGCAAATTGAAATGTGAAGCGATGTGACGCGGTTAGCGGTGCGAGTTGAATTCGCAGTGGTTGTCCGGTGAAACCACCGACCTTTTAATTCATAACCCAACGCATTTGGTGTGACTTACACTCTGTGGTGCGGCGGGAAACACGCTGTGTATCGCACTGTGGGCCCTTGCAATAATTTCATTCCGCATGGGAACAGGATTGCTGTTCTCTGTAGAAGATTTGAGTAGACCCCAAGATTGTTAAATACAGAATCATCAAGTGTAAAGATTATGCTTTCAACTTTGCTGTTAAAGTATCCAACGGTTTTGGTAACATTACTGATATATTGCAGCATATTGATGAACAATTGAGATTTTTTTTACGTATCACGCTGAAATTGTTCAAATGTCTTGAGGTATTTTGAGAGTTGGAAAAAAGCCAAACTTCTGGAGTACCCAAACTGTATGTATATGCGAGGTTCTGCACAACTTCAATCATTATCTAATACAAGACCTATATACCACAACCCGAATATACCCTCTGTGAATCAATCAGCACCTAGATAGATAAGACCCCACACAGGAACAAAAATCAAAAAAGAAAAAGGGGTTATTTCATCCAAGGGTCATCACTAAGGAAATAATACAACTTGGGAGGTAAATATTTATTCCAAAAAGTCTCCAAGTGTATGTTCGCCGAGTTATTTATTGGCTCCCGGTTTTTAGGTACAGGACACGAGTTGGGTTCTTTTCGAGAGATTAAAAACTGGAGAAAAGTGAATTCAGGCCAGCCGACGCCTCCCCCACCCTCCCTCGAAGAAGCAAGTCTTCATTCTTATTTGGGCCTGTCATTTTGGGAAGATGACGATATTGCGAAGCAGCAGGGTTACGTAGAGGGCACAGCCTCCCAACGCCCACCCCGACCCTCGCCTCCTCCCGTCTTCAAATCAATCAATTTACGACGGTCGCGGGTGTCTCATAAGTGGATAATGGGACAAAACTTGTATGTTGAGGATACACTCTGCAATAAAAGTTGGTAATAAAAAGTTGGGAAAGTTTATTTTGTACTCCCATCACCATGGTTAGATTAACTCGGGTTTTACCAATTTATTCAAAGTAAAGTCACGATGATGTTTGGACCAATGTGCAAGAAGTTCAACAATACATGACAATGCAATGTACCATCTAATATAGAGCACTGGCCATCGTACGGAAAGGTATGCATTAGTCAACAGGACACAGATATTATTGTAGCTTTTATGCCAAAAATAAATTGGATATGCCGGTGTTTGAATTTGAGGAAGCAGAAAATGGAAGTTTAAGGTGACTTTGTTAAGCCTTTACAATTGTCTACAAAGAATTGTTATTGTAGTGAAATTGTTCAAAGCCCTGTTCTTTTTTTGCCTCTTTTAATAACAAACTTTAAAAATCTCGTCGGCAAAATGTAGGCCCAGCGTACATGTATACCATCCCCTAAATGCAATATTGTACGATATTATATACCAAACTGCAAACAAACGCTTGAAAGCATTTCGGAATATGATTATGTTGCTGTTATTGAGCCAAGTTTTCCGAATTGTGCGAAAGGTTCTATGTTCCCAAGGTTTGGACAGGTAAACATACAATTGGCGAGTTAATCACGGGCCTTTGGCAGTCACAATGCGTCTGAGGTCGTGGGATTGTCGTGGTGTAATGAACCAATGCAATAAGTCGGAGGTGGTTACCTTCAACCAACTTTTAGGCTGAATAAAAACATTTCAAATCATTCCCCTTTAGAACAGGGCTTATTGTCGAACACTGAGGGGAAGAGGCTCGGGCAACAAGTACAAACTTTGCAAAGCCAAATTCAAAATGGAACATTATCAACGGATATCAAAATTCGCATTATACGGTTGTATTTATATTTCCATATAATGTGAGATGGTATACCGGCACCTTTAACATTTTATTTCGTCTGGAGCTCTGGACTGTTTGGATGATCCAAAATCGCCAAGAAACCTTCAGGTTACCAAAAACCTTCAGGTTACCCAAAAAGATCCACAATCACACAGCATCACTGCAAAACATCACAGATTTGTATTCAAGTTGACCTCACGCCAAAATGTCAAATGACAACTTCGGTCATAAGTAACAAGAGATGAACGTCTTTGTTGTCACAGTATATGAAGAGCTTGTGATATGACTTGGGACTGAATGGCATACGTCATCCAATTTAGGAGGCACCCTCGCGCAAATGAGTTTACAAGCAGGTCCCTTTGGGTTTTCACTTTTACGCTGACAGATTTCATTCAAGGGTAATACATACACCGGAACTTGAAGATAAAAACAAATGCGAAGTAAAAATTGGAAAATCTTCAGCCAGCCTTAGGTGGTCAAGGTTTACCACTGTTGCCTCAGCGTGGCACATGCAGACTTCATCCACTTACAACAAATCTCGACAAAAGCCTGGATTTCAGTTTTTACTTCCGTTCGACACAACTTAAATCCCCGAGTGATCCGGCCACTTTCAGCAGCCACCAGCCTGTGAAAATATTAACCAACCCTTTTTGGGTAAAAACACAAATCCGAGGAAGTGGAGTGAATGAAATTTGCTCACATTTTCGTGACTCGTATTTCTATCTCTGTACGTGCGTGCGCGCAATTACACAGGTCTGCGATTATCAGCAGAAATGGTTATATCAGACGATCGACTTCGCGGTGGAGACTTTCCAAACGATCAAAATAAAATCTAGACTTTAATGTTTTGCGCAATCGGTTCAATTTGCCACTCAGGCGTGACTTATATCATGTTATATAAAAAGCGAGCTCGCAGGTAATGTAGGCCCAGGCCTATCAACCTGTTTTTCCGGGTCTTGAGAGCCGCGGCGCGAATGTGAAAAGTGCCGGCGCGCCAAATTTCTTATCCGACCCGGGGCGAAATATTGATCCGATCACATGGGGCGATGGGTTGTGTATGTCTGTGCCTTCAGCTCTCTCGGACTGTATGTGGTCTAAGCTCATACGGTGATTTCTGCAATAGCAGTGCAACAGCATGCACCTTGGTACATATTAAATCACCATAATAGTTCTATACCTGTGTGCCGTATATATCTCCGAGCCTTTGGGTGTCAGGTTTTGTGTGTATATTTTATTGAAACTAAGGTGAGAAATGATGCCGAGGCACATATTTCACTCCGCAACACCGGCGTCTGCAGCGGTTTTGTTTACAGCAACGAGTGACCAATGATCTTTGGCGACTGAGGATTTTTCAAGAACAAGAAGGGAAAAATATAATACACACATCGCATACTTGAACAAACCACTTGTTGAACATTACACTTTTTCTGGTATTTCGTATCGGTATATCTGCAGGTACAGCAGCGACGAAATACCTAAATGATCGATACGGTCAGGCTGAGATAACTGCATTCCTGTTTTGGCTAAAGTATACAAATAAAATTACAAAGTATACAAAGTATACAACGTATACATGAACATCACAGACTGCATTGTGCCATATTGTGTAATTGCACGCAATTATTATCATTCCATTGACCACCTGCTGTCTTTATTGGTGAACAGCTCACGACATGCCTATTGATTAGCCTTGACCTTTCACCTATTGTTTGTACCTCGTATAGTTTGGCTACCTTTGTGTTTTGGTAAATAGTCATTGTACTGTGCTGTTATTTCATTTTGGAACAAATTGAATTCTTTCACTTGTATTTCGTGAGCAACACAAATAACAAGTGATGGGGACGAACACGTTTCCCCATGAATTTGTGAGAGAAAAACAGAACCAATATTTTGTGCGAATAATAATCAATACGTGAACTCCATGTTTTATTTTTTTGTTGTTGAAAAATTAGGGTTAAAATTGTCAAATGATTGAACTAAACTCATTGCACCCGAATCAATACACATAGAGCCTGTTGGTTTAGCATTCTATTTTTGATTTATGCTTCAGCCGTGTCAGTAACGGCACTCTTGTCACGTAGTCATGCTGGTACGCTTGTCGTTCAACGGGTAGGGGGTTCCACGTACAGGTTCGAGCACAGAGGGACCTGCTGGGAAAGGGGATTATGGCCTTAGTGTCCCTAGGCATGGCATTTTACCGGAAGTGCGTTTCTACATCATTGAGCTAATGGTTGCAACTTGGTTGCTCTTGAGCTGTTGAGGGCAGGGGTTTTGTGTGGTTGATAATCATAAGCAGATAGGCATTGAAACAGAGAACTCAAAATAAATAAAGAAATAAATGAATAAAACAATAAAATGAGAAACTGATTTTGTAAATAAAAAACACGTGCATTAAAATATCAACCCCATCCGAAGACACTTGCCGCTTTGGTTGATAGCAGGCCTGGTTGATAGTCATCTATAGTATGGGTCAGGTTCTTAGTACACACTTCATTGTACGTTAGGTATGGAGGTATAACTAAGGCTCAATCATCAGATCATATGCATCAGCACGTTTACCATTGGAAACAATAACAAACAAAAAATTCAGATTTCTGCACTGTTAACGTGAGCATGCAGTGTACTTTTTGCAGAGCCAACCTATTGATGTACTTTTTGGACCTCACTGACTGACTGTAACTTGTGAATAAGGCAGTGCTATTGTATAGGATTACACTGTTTGCAAATGAATGCACTAATCCGTCCTATTGTGTACAATAGATGCATGAAAAGACTTCCAATATCAACTGATATATAGAAGATAATTTTGTGCACTCTGGGACCAGCATTTGTAGGCTTGCCTTATCTTGTTTTCAAATTTAGTGTAATGTGCATGTGTTGCATCAAAAATATAAATCAATACTCTTTTTACTTTTGTATTTTATATTTTTTACTTACCTCCACCGTTCTTGTAGCAGAGGTAGGGAAACCGCCAGACATTACCCAGCCCGATAGCGTAGCCAATGCACGCGAACACAAAGTCCAAATTTCGAGACCACGTTTCCCGTTTGCCTCCCGGCGGGTCAGCGTCTTCCAACTCTTGCATCTCGTCTCCTCCATCCTCAAGACGAGTACTCGGCTCCTTGAAGATGTGGTCCACCGCGTTGCAGTTGCCGTCTTTGTCTTTGAGGGGCATGCTCTCAACGTGGTCCTCGCCACTTTTGTTCAGGGAGTTTTGGTGCGGATCTGCCACGAGAGACATGTTGCTTGTCGAGCAGTTACCAGCTCAGCTTCTTTAAGAAAGTTTGAAGATAGAACAACAGTGATTGAAGACGTTTGGTCACAGAGTGGTCGCTGTACACGGACACGCTAATGGTACGGCAGGCTTTTGCGATATGACAGATGTGCAATGCAGAGTAGCTGTCACTATATAAACACCACAGGTGTATTTACGAGAACCCGGCAAGTGGTGGATGGATGAAAAGTGCTGCAAACCTCTCGTGAGGCGCTGCTCATCAGCTCCCGGGCTTGAACCCAAAGATAACCACCACTAAACTAACCGACTGCTTAATACTGCTTCCCCTCAACCTTGTAGCCTGGACACGCCCAGTCTGCAGGGCTGTAAACAGCTGATGCTAGATTCTCCGGGTGGTCTTCCAAAAAGGATGCAAACCCCTCGGCGTTTACTAACAGTTTCGAGAGCTACAGGACATCCCTGCTGAAATGCACGCTCACCGCTCACTGTCAACTCGTACACCGACCGCACCACTCGGTAAAACGCTGATGAGACGAGTGTTGCTAACTGAAAATGGTGTAGTTTTACCACTTGTACAATCAGTTACCAGACGACTCGATCACGCGCGCGCACCCGACTACAGCTCACTGATTGGACCAGAGGTATAGGCGCGATGCTAGTATGGATACCACTCATCACACACGTCCACAGCTACTGAACGAACCGAATGCACACCAAGCCAATACATTTCGCTAAAACTCCGGGAAACTGTTACAGATGTTATTATGGTCGGCCGGCCAGACCTGGAGCTTTCGATTCAGGGGTCCCGCACACCGTACCAATGAACCACGCATGGCTGGGCGCCTTGACATGAACGGGCATAATCACCTGAGAAGGGAATTAGTGGGGAATTTTTCCCGGTTTTTTTTTTGGGGGGGGGGGAGTGGAAGAGGGAAAGAATCATTTTCACTCCTTTGGTGAATTTGCAAGGCAATGAACCCAGATCCGTGCACGAATGACCTTTCTTTGAAAATATATTGTGCAAACATGCAAGCCTTTTTGAGCTTGTGACGACTTTGTCCACGGGTAACTTTGGGCCTGGTACGGTGCAGCTTAGACCCGTTACATTATTAGTTGTAGGCCTCTAAGGACCGTAGAGTTTTCCCCATCGGAAACGTGTTTGTTTTCATTAGATAACGGTTCCCGTTTGCGCAACCGTTCAAGGTCTTTTATCGACTCCAAAAGTGCTTCGTTTTCGAGCTTGTGTAACTAAAAAAAACCTCACAATTATTGCTCCGATGAATTTGCCTTGAATGTGGTGGACAATTGAATGGGTGAACTTCATGCCATCGTAACGAGTGGCTTTGCATTTATTTCAAGCAGAAACACTTTTAGGTTCGTTTCAAAGTTTGTCATTCGGCGACTATATTCAGTATTTCAAATACGATTTATATTAGTAAGGTTTAAATACAAAACTCGTACCGTCACTCAGTAAACTAAGATGCTTAGAGTTAGACAAGTGTGCTTAATTGCTTGCTCGCCAACCAGTGGCGTAGCCACGGGGAGGGGGGGGGGAGAGACAGCCCCCCCCCCCCCAACTGATTTGAGGGCGTGTCCGGTGAAAAAAACCTGTCTACCTTTCAGCACAGATGAAATGTTTGGGCGCCCCTCCATTGTAACCTCAAGCCCCCCCCCCCCCCACACACACGCCCCCCTATAGGATGAGAACCCTGGCTACGCCGCTGCATGCATGCGTGCTACCTATCATTGGCGTCGCGAGGGTGGGGGAGGGGCACTTGCTTCCCCCTCCGCCTCCCTGGAAATTAAAGCAAGGGCGGCGGGGAGTGGGGGAGGAGGCGTCCTCAGGCTTCGTTAAGAACACATAATAAAGTACAAAGCTTGGAGCATAATAACGTATTTTTTTCATCTGAATAATACCAGGCTCCTATTATACATCGAGTCTTTCCCCACTGTGCTCCCCACTATCGGCACCTAATCAAGCGCATCGCGGCAAAATGTGTCCACATTTATTCCGCCGGTGATTCAATTCACGCTTCTCTCGCATCATTAGATGTAAATTGAAGTAAACTTTTTGCGTGTTGATTGGATCAGAGATTGATTCGGATGGGGACAGCTGATGCCAATTACGGTGCAGGGGTGCAGACTTCAATTGGCGCGCGTTCGTCTATAATGACGTGTGTGCTTATAGACGTCATCGCAGCCGTCATAATTTGGTATAGATTTTTGATGAGGCAGAGATGATGATGATGATGATGATGATGATGATGATGATGATGATGGAGGGGTTAATAATTGAGGGTGACGGTGAAGCAGTGAATGGACTGTTCGATGTGACATGACGTCAATTTGAGTGCAAAATTCCGTAGACATTCTGTCGAAAAAAGAGAATCTTTGCTTGGTCATTTTGACAGGGGACAGGTATTTTTTTTTGGGGGGGGGGGGTTAAGGACTGAACAAAACATGATTTTATGGCTCAATCCCCTCAAACATTACTTTACACCCATGTGAGCTCCGTATTTTCCCATGAGGGCGCTCTTTAAACAAACATTATGCTTTCGCTCGTCACCGAATTTAAATTTAAAAAAAAAACTGTTCCTAGGGAGGGTGCTCTTTGCAAAGAGTCGATATCCTCATAATCAAAATAACCACTCAAAATCATCCTATTTGATACTATTATAGGGCACTTATATTAATCGGGGCGAGAGACACATCCTAGGTCCAGTTCAAGAGCTGTAACACCGATACCTAATTGCCAATAAGAGAATGTCATGGTCTAATTTTCTCACTTTTCTCAACTATGATTCCCTAACTTGATGCGAAATGAGAGACTTGTTTTCTACGTTTCAGCCCACTTTGTGATGGTTCCCAACGATCATGTTGCTCCTTAGGCCCACTATACCTAGCCCATGAACCCAGGCTGCGAATGATATTTCAATCCTTACTTCCCGTTCGCCCAGGGTATACGCAACCTATATATGGAAGGTGTTTCGTCGCACAAGTCCGGACATAGTCCCACGCTGTTACTACTCGGTCTCGTGATACATGTATATAATATTTCAGAGTATGCCTAGGCCTACTGTTCGAAACAGTACTGTAAGAATTTTTCCCCATCTTGGTCTGGTGACGGGACACCTTTTGGGTGCGTGATGTTGTAGGATCGTTCCGGGTGGGAAGCGCCTTCCATACAGGTCTATGCCTAACTAAGGCGAGGTGCATGCACGTCACTGTGTATAGTTATGGGTACCATTATTATAGACCTTGAACTTCCCTATCGGTGTTTCTAATGAAATCTCAAACTCCATAATTCGTTTCCCTAATAGAAAGCGAGATTTCTGAAGACCGGCTTGTGTTTTTGGTACAACCACAAGGTCAAGGGCCACTAAAGAGGTCGCTACCAACTAAAAACGAAGAAGCCACGAATTTGTTGATATTTTCGCTTGATGAACTGTAATAGCTTAGGCCCTATGTGAAGGAAAGCAAGGAGTTTCACAGTGTGCGTGAGTATTTTACCGTACTAGATTTTTTATTATTATTACCAGCTCTTTGTACAGTACTAGCCCTTGGGATTTTCAGTAAATACCATTACCACACACAAAAGTCCGGTTTTTGCGACTTTTCAAGCTGTTAGACTCAACAGCTTTTGGGGGATCTTTTGGGATCGTTGTTGGATCACGGATCTACCCCAGGCTATTTTGCTTGTCTCGAGCTAGTGTTATCCCGTCTTGGTCCTTATCGTCGGAGATGAGTGATGGAATCCGTCTACTCCGGGAAACAGGTGAGCGGGTGGTAACCACTCAGCACCCCGGTACATCGCGCGATATGCCCCGGTCAGTATAGGCTCTAGAGATTCGGTATCATTTTACCAATAAGGCTTTGAACTCTTCGGAGAAGAGTGGAAGTTGGAACTGAATTTAGTTCAGTGTGGTTTGTGCTGCTCCAGGGCCAACCTAGTGTCCTCTTTGCACCTATTTGACTGACTGACTGACTCACTGAATGTCAGTTTTGAACCGTGCAGTGCCATCGTATAGGATTACCCATCAACGTCAATAAATCGTTTCCACAAATTGTGTGTAGACCAGATGTGCGAAAAATAGCTATTCGGAGTCAATCAACAGAACATTGTGCACTCTGGGACCAGCTTTACTACATACACTGCAAAATCTGCGGTGTTAAATATACACCATTTTGTATCTATATAGGACCATCTGGTGTTAAAATTTACTGGTGTTGTCCTATATAGATACCGAATGGTGTTAAATTAACACCACAGTTGTTGCAATGTAGGCTTGTCGTGTTTTGTTTTGTTCTGTTGAACACTGCAAAGTATAAACTGCGAAAATATTTTCTGAAGCAAAGTTGGGTGCTCAATGGTTCGAAGCATTTTCTAAGTCATAAAAGCTGATCCGAATTGTTCGTGCGCAAGCTCAATGATTTGACGTTTGCAAAATTAAAACGTGCATTAAACAATGAATTTTGTTCCAAAATTCCCCCAATGCCAGACCGTGAGTTAATGGAAATATTGTTATTGTGATAAGATAGTCTGAACCCCATATCCATTTATTGTCACAGTGACATTATTTTTTTCCATGTTATAAACTCAGACCAACACTGTTTAGACTTTCATGGCATGGCTGAACTCCTACATGTATCGGGTATCATTTCACAATTTGTTTTATTTTAGGAGCGCAAAATGATGATTTGTACATCTCGGTCAAAACACATCTCGAAATTCGCGTCTCATTTCGGTTGTCACGATCGTCAGCACCCACCACACGCAGTCTAGATGAAGTTTAACGTGCCTTTCCTATCAATGCCCGAGCTTAACAAGCAACGCGCGTGTTGGATTCAGTTTTCTTTCAAGGTCAAGTCCGCGGTGGAATAACCTACCTCGTTCTAGTTATGACGAAGGCAGCGTGTAAGCAATCGTAACAAAATATTCAGTCGTTTTGTCGTTCAATCTTAACAAGTACTTTCATTTGGCTATTATGTCACTGCGTTCGCGGGGAAAAAAAGATGAGCTTACTTTTTTTATATTTGCTACTTTAAATTACAAAATGTAAGCTATTTTTTTCGGGAATGTAGATTTTTCAAATACAAAACCCTAAAATTGTATTATACGGAGCGAGTAAAATCAAACATACATGTAGTTTATTCCTAATCGAATTATGAGCATTGTGTACAAGTACACTTACGAAGTAAACGACCGAAATAGCTTTTAATTGCATGATCTTTTATTGTGTCACGAAAAAAATATTTGTCGAATCTGAAAAGGGGGTTTGGTTTTGGAATTATTTTTGATATTTCAACATTACACATGTACATGTATTTTGCTTATTGCATTTTTGAAAAGCACATAAATACGGTGCGATGATATTTTTGTTTAGCTAGTGATATTTAAACAATTTCTTTTTTTTTGGTGGAACGATGACGTCATTGAGAGAAACATGACACATCTCGTTTATGAAAAAGAATATGAGCAGGTATCGGATTTATTATGATGGAATTCATTATCATGATGCAATTTACAAAATTCTGTTCCTCCTTTTTATTCAACGTTTCTCTTTTCATTTGTTTTCCCCTTTCTAATGTTTTCTGCACTGCAAGTACGTTGTTACCTGGGTAACCCCACCTGCTCAATGGAAAAATCAAAGTTTCGGCAATTGCAGTGGAACTACAAATCGTGAACAGCGCCCTCTTGTGAATTCCTGTATCTCCTCGAGGAGGGATCAAAGGTTTTTTTTTCATGTTAATATATAACAAGTTTCTACAAATTCTCTGGGGATACAGTCAATCTTGCTGAACTTGTCAGTTTAAATATTTGTGTTTTGCCCTTCATGGACAAAATTGATCAGCCTTGTGTAGTGAAGGTTTGCTGTAAGCCTTGGCAATCAGTACCAGACAGCAATTTCATTCACGAAGGGCAAAACGAACTACATGTATTAAAATTTACAACATCTTGATGTAATCAAAATTCCGTTGAACTGAATTTTAGGAGGACATAAGTGAATATATAAAATTAAAAATATAGATATGAAAACAGAGAATGTAAACAGCAGTCTTATTTCACACTCCCTTCTTTTAATACTTGATTTTCAAGAAGGGAACTTTGTCCTCAGCGTATTTTCCTGTTCTTGGCTGGCACAGATCCAGGCCGTGATTTCCTCCGTCGCCTATCTCTCTTGCGATTGTTCTTCTTGTTGAGTCGTCCCAGGCTGACCCCTTGCCTACGTTTGATCAGGGTGTGTTTCTCCACGAGGCTGGCTAGTTTGCCCTGCTCGGCAAGCATGGCTAGGAACGTGCAGATGAAAGGGTCGTAGTTGTGGGAGCGACGGCAGTCGTCAATCTGAAGGACGAAATTGTGGACAGAGAATGCATGTTCAGTACATTGTATATACTGTATGTGCACTAATTGTTATGGATCACAAGTCATCATAAGTCCATCACAAATTAATCACAGGTAAATCACAAGTCCATCACAAGTCAATCAGAAGTCCATCACAAGTCAATCAGAAGTCCATCACAAGTCAATCACAAGTCTACACGGTCAACACAAGTCACTCACAAGTCAATCACAAGTCAATCACAAGTCAATCACAAGTCAATCACAAGTCACTTACAAGTTAATCACAAGTCAATCACAAGTCTACACAGTCAACACAAGTCAATCACAAGTCTACACAAGGCAATCACAAGTCACTCACAAGTCTACACAGTCAATCATAAGTCTACACAAGGCAATCACAAGTCTACACAAGGCAATCACAAGTCACTCACAAGTCAATCACAAGTCAATCACAAGTCACTTACAAGTTAATCACAAGTCAATCACAAGTCTACACAGTCAACACAAGTCAATCACAAGTCTACACAGTCAATCACAAGTCCATCACAAGTCATTAAGTCCCAAGCCACAAGCTATTCAAATGAACAGTGACAAAGGCATTCTGTTGTAATTGTTCATTTGTTACTCAGGACCAGACTTATGAAAGGACTTGTGATTTACTTGTGACTGGACTTGTAATGGACTTGTGACTGGACTTGTCATGGACTTGTGACTGGACTTGTGATTGCTTGAATAGCTAAGCGGCCCGCTTTTGTTACCAAAACTGAGTTACCAGTATTCACACAATTACAATCATCAGCATATAATTCTTTAGTAGTAGAGCTATAAAATGTGGCCCTTCTAATGTACCTTATATTTATTCCTCTTCTCTTTCTCATCTAGGAGTTTTTGTTCGTACCCGTCGATTTCTGCTTCCACACTCTTAAGTAGCTCCAACAGATCCTGCAACACACAAACATTGTCAATCAAAAGTGATCACCTGTATCTCTGATTTTTTTTAAATGAGAAATATTTTCCAAAGCATTTAATTTAGAAAAGCAAATGCACAAAGGTATGTACACAACCCAATGACATTGACATTGTAAATACTTTAGATATCATGCTGCCAAAGATGTTTTCGCAAAAGATTTCTCAGACGTATATATATGTCACAAACTCTTTGACAAAAATAATTGCCCTGAACACTCTGATGCAAATTGAAAAACACGTCTGTGTGCAACACCTAAAACTACTGCAAGTAACACTTGCCCGATCCCCCTAGCACCCTGCCAGTTTCTACATATATACATGTACTGGCAGTTAGCAAGGACAACTGTCAGTTACGACCTTGATTGTCCACCCGGCAGGTACCAGTTCTCAGTTGAATGGGAAATTTGGGTCGAATGGAGAGTTTGGGTGAGACACCGGACTAACATATGTTAGAGTCATTAGTTATACTGAGCTGAGCTCTCCAGAGACCTCGTAAATATCCATATTGGAAAGGATTTTGTTGACGTCGGCCTTCTCTTCACAGACCACCTTTCAGGTTTAGTTGAGATTGATGACTGAACTTACAGTGAACTGGAACACACACACAAGGACACACAGAAGGAATATGCGATCGCAATATTGCCCTGTCTGGCTTGAAAGCCAGGGGGATAAAAATGAGACTTACACTTTGTTCAAACGGTGGTTTGCCATGTTGTGAGAGAAGGGAGGAAGGGCTGGACTGAGCTGGGGTGGAGTATGCCTTGGACTCCGCTTGGCTAAATGGTTTTGAGATGTCCTCTCCTTCAAACACTCTATGAGCTGATCGTCTGGTCTGCACAGATCTTTCGTGCGGCAGTCTGGCAGCAGCTTTCCCTTCTGGTTGATAATCGGTGTAAGCCATTGAGGCCTCCAGTTTCTCCCTGGCATCCATGATGGTGCTTGCCTTCCAACGCTGGAACTTGAGCATCTTGACGGCGTTGGGGCTTCCGGAGCGGGAACCCATGGCCGAGCAGACTGGGGAGTTAAAGGCACTGCCAAGCTCAGAGGCAGTGTCCGTGCTGGCACTGCTTGAGGAGGATGGAGGACTCTCCTTGCTGTCAAAGACAGTTTGGATGCTAAGCTGTCTTGACACATCACTGCTTGAGTCCTCGGGAAGCCTCCTAGGATCTCTGAAGGTCACCCTTGGGCCTGATACCTCTCCCCTTTCCTCAAGACCCTGCTTCTTGAGGATGCCCTCAGTCCTGTACCCCTCAGACCGCGCACCTCTTGTCTCCTCCTCGCTCTCATCATCTGTCAGGTAGTTGCTCTCTGATTCACTGGCTGAGGATGTCGAGGAGGCGGCTGACGCATCTTCGTCCGACATGAGAGGGGATTTGGCATAGTTGTGGTTGTCAAGCGCAGGCGGAAGCCTGGTGGATATACATGATGGAAGTTGTTAAAAACAGAAACAAACACCATGAGTTTTAAACACAGCCCTGGGCATCATGGTAGGCAAGCTATGTTATTACTGTGCTGACGGCATCTAAGACACAAGGGGTTTTTTTTGGGGGGGGGAGGTTGGGGGCACAAGAAAAGATTTTTCTTTCCTGATTTTTGATAAATTACTGAAAGACGAAATATTCCAAAATCATCATATTAGTACCTCTTCATCATTGTTTCTAAACTAAATGTAAATTTCTAAGAACTTTTAGAAGTTTAAGAACAGTGCTTTATTGTTACCTGTATTGTGGAATGCTCTCAAACACCTTGACTTTCTTGGAATGTTTCTTGTGTTTCTTGTGCTTCTTCTTCTTTTTCTTCTTCTTTTTCTCTCTCTTGGAGGAGGAGACAGCTGAGTTACCACCACGCTGGGCATAGTTGGGCTCCCAGTCTGGATCCGATAGATCCCTGTCGATGGAATGCCTGCTAGTGGGATGGTCCTGGGGAGGGGGGTGTGTGTGGTGAGGGGCAGGACTGGGCTGCTGGACGGGCGCATGACGGTCCTTCAATTCAGGTCTGGGAGCTGAGGTTGACGTTGCTGAAGCGTGGATCAGGTTGGGCTTTCCATCCAGGAATAGATGCGGGTGGGTTGCACGAATCAGCTGAAGAGAGAGACAATAAAAGGAATTATTCTCTATGCTTGCAATGCAGCTTGATGAATAAGTCTCGGAAACAAGATGTTGCAATGTTGTAAATCTGATTCAAGTTTTTTTATTTGGGAAATTTCAAGTACAGTCGAACACCTTTATAACAAGGTCCTTGGGACTTTACAAATTACCTTGTTATAACAGGTACCTTGTAAATAACAGTAATGGAAAACAAAGAAAAACAAAGACTTGGGACCTAAAATTTTGCTTGTTATAAGCAGGACCCTGTTTAAAACAGTGCTCTTCTTTTCAGGGTTCGACTGTTCTTTTGGTGGAATTTTATGATGGGAAGTTGAAATCCAGAATAAATCTTGTTTCTTACTTGGTCCAGGGCGTCTAGAATGATCTGCTTATTATTCTTGAGAGTGTCCAGTTTCTGCTCATAGGATTGACACCTGTCTCCCACTACAGCCATCAGATTGAAGCGGATATCTGACGAACCACTGTGACAAATTAAACATAACATTGTTTTGTCCTTACTTGGAGGTTGAAAGGTGAATTTTTAATCTTCAAAGTAAACAGAGAACCAGTTGGTAAGGTGGCCAATTTCAGCTCAGCTTGCAGTAAGCACAAGCAATATTTGCTTAGTAAAAAGTGGGTTACCAGCCAAAATACTACAGTGATGTATAGTGCTATTGACTGGTTTACTGCTAATATCTTTATGCTGGGCACATGAATTTGCTTATTAATAATAAGCCCCAAAAAACCTGACTTTTTTTCAAATACTGCTCCCAATTTACCAAATTTAGTCCACACTTTATTTGCAATCGGTTACACATCTGTGAACGGGTGCAAGCCAGCTAGTCTGGTTCCCTGACCTGAAAATTCCCCGACGTCTATAAATTGCTCCATTTCGCCTGAAGTAGGGTCAGGGAACCAGACTACAAGAACAGCATCTATGAACACAAAACTTAAAACAGGTCAGTGTTGCAATATTTGCTATAAAATACTAACCCCCAAATCCGTCTATTTCTGAAAATCACAGCAAAAGCAACCTTTGTTTGATTGGTCTATTGGGCGCTGGCCTTGGCTGTATTAAAGTAACAAGCATTACAACAACCAATGAATATAGCAATTACAGTCAAGGGCAATTTAACCCCTGGCTACTCCCTACCCTTCATTATCAAGCCTCTCGCTTATCACCCGCCGAAACTTCTCTGTCCAGTCCTCATTCTCTCCCCAAGGTCCTGGAAAAGATGAAAAAAGGAGAGATTTGTTTCTTAATGCAATGCAATTTGGGGTTTTTTTTCATTCAGTCCTTAAAAATGCACCAATGTGTACCATTCAACCTTATTTATCATTTTGCCATTTTCAAGGGTGTTTTGGGGCCTTCTTGTTTTTTTACTAATGCAAAATTCCATATTCATGAGCAAAAGTGTGATGTCATTTCAGGCAGAAACCTCAATGTTACAGCTATTTCAGCCTCAAAAAGTTGCCAGAATTTTGGATGTTCTGCTGTCAATGAGCCAATGAGCAAACTTTTTCTCAAATGTTTTCAATGAGCAAACTTTTGGGTTCCCAAATTGAAAAGAACACCCCTAAACTGACCGGTGTCTTCCTGAAATGACATCACAGCAACAGCGCCTCCAGTTGTCCGTAAAAGCATGGACAAATTTTAAATGTTTAAAGAAGTGCACTTTTACATAAAATTAACCAAAAAGGGATGTCAAATAGTTTTCATACGTTTAAAAGGAGTAGAATGCTCATGGACCCTTTAAGTGTTCAAAACAATTTCTGAAACTCAAGTCCACAATAAAATGTACATCCCATTCGTTCAAAGGTTCCATCAAACGTCGCCTATAGGGTTTATCATGCAGAGGGTCAGGATTGTGTGGTCAGAGCTCACCGTGGTCTATGGGATGTGGCTTGAGTCCATCCAGTTCAATCAGCCTGTCACTGATGGGCACGTAGCTGACAAAGTGGAAGGTCTCCCTGGCTCTGGTCGTGGAGATTCCAGTCTGCTTCTCCGGTATCTGTCGGGGTTCTGGATGGGCATGGGAGTTGTGGATCTGGGCCAGCTCCGGCACATTGCCGATGGCGTAACCCTTGTTCTGAAATGGGAACAGAATTAGGTTTCATTTTTAAACAAGTTCAGTTGGGAAACCAGTAATCAACCGTCACAAACAGTCAAAAAATCAATCCTCTTCCCCTGCCATGCCTTTTACACAGGCTAGTCACCAACAGTCAGATCATATGTCAAGCAAGCACTGTGACTTGTCAAATTCAGTCAACAGACAAAAGCAGGCAAGTGGTAGGCACAGCTGGCTTATCAATCACCTACAGTCAAAGCATCGCTGTATCAAGTTACATAAACAGTCACGGCCAGTCAATCCTGCTTTATGTAGGCTGGGAGCTCTTAACTGTTGAAAACAGTCCCTTGATTGATTTTGACTGAAAGGACAACTTGGCACAGAATGTATGTTTGCACAGGAGTGTTAATAGCAATATGCAAACGTCCCTAGTTAAAGGATGGTTAAATCGTCAAAGTCATCAGGAAACTGCTAGAGGTCCTAGCTCCCTGCTATGCATTATGATGTGGACGGACATTGTAACGAGCAATGTGAACAACTATAGTTGACTAGCAAGTATTCAAGTGAAGATCATTTAGAGTGGATAAGATTACGTGAATTAAAAAGGCTTAATATTATTAATTACACAAGAATTGTTGTTGTGGCAATGTGAGTGTCCAAGTATCTTGAGAAACAATTTTAAGGAATGTAGTTGTCCCTACCTCCGCACTGAAGTCTTTGGTGTAGTGCTTCAGATCACTCAGGGTGTTCCCCAGCTGGATGTTGCCACAGTTCAGGAGCACACTCAGTAAGGCGTGTGTGGCACAGGAATTGGGCACTTTCTGTGTGGTAAGAGAGAGGGGGAAACAAAACAAAAACGACCCTTGTATTTAATGTAACAGTAAGTTTGTCGCAAGAGCTGTTGATCACATATATCATTTCTTCAATAATCCCCGAAACTTTTGCCTTGCAAAGTTGCTGTTGTGAGCATTGCATCACCAAAAATTCAGCTTTTAATTCTAATTTTGCAGAGAGTTATCGAAATCCATACGTGAGACATCACGTTGATGTGTACTGCAATGCATTGTGCAAAAAGACTCCTCAGCTATAACATTTTCATCGTGTAGATAAAACAGTGCTCTCTTGTTGATCTGAGTGAATGCAAAATGTTTCATTTTTTAGCAGAGGGCGCTATGTTCATTTGGCCATCGATTAAAAAACAAGTAAGCTGCAAGGCTTTACCTACAACTACCCAGAATACATTGGGAATCACACACACATTTCCAGAGCATGGAGATTGACGTGGATGGTTTTTGAACTGCCAAAAACTTGCCTTAAAATTGGATTTAAGGTCTCAAATTTCGCAGATGACATGCTTGCAACTATATCATTTTGATGTATGTGTTGTCTGGGCATTAATTAGCCTAATGGTGAGTAAAAAAACGTCAGTAGTAATTTTGCACGTTTTTATGCACTCACGGTCCCAGTCTGAGTAAAAGCATGCAACACAAGAAAATAGACTGGCACATAAAACAACCAGTCCAACACCCCTTTAGTACTGCATCAATCGACTGTGTCAAAAGAAACATCTGGTACCGGTCTCCATTTCTACAGATTCTCTATTTCTACACAGCCATGCCACCAGACTAATGAAAGGTCAATCTTTTCAAAAGTTAGACGTGTACCAGTCTAGTCTTAGGCTTCAAATTGAAATAACTTGGCTTCACTCTCAGGTGAAGAAAGTCTCCTTTAAAGTTGAATTGAGACCTCAAACTTGGCTGGTGAAATACTGAGGTTTTCCTCATGATAATTGTGGAGAATTTTACCGGCTAAAGAGTGAGTAAAGTTGGCCTGAATTTGTATTGTATGTTTTTCTGCACTCAAGGTCCCAGTCTGGCATTGTGCATGATGCGACCCATTTCTCCTAAAACCTGGATCCATCCCTGGTGAGAGAATGGGCACATTTTCAATTTGAAGTCTAAATTTCTTATACGCCAAAGGAAAACTTGACCCACCTGATGAGCAAAGAACATCTCCTTGGCAATCTCTGCATCGGTCAGGTACGCCTCGTCTCCGTTGGGCTGCACCTTCCGCCGCGCTCGTCGCTCCTCGATCCATTTGAATAGGAATATGAAACCATAGACGGGGCCCTCTATTGGCTTCTGTAGATCGTAGATCTCCTCCACTTGAACGCCTGTCACACCTGATTGTTATAAATAGATCTGATTCACAATATATGCCAACAATGCATTCTAGACTAGTTAATCATCTGTCATTCATAGTTTAAGAATATAAATGCCATGTTTGGATTAAAAAATAATGATGTATAATTAACATTAGGCGCTTGGCCTAGGTTTACTTACCAAATTCTTCAACTAACAATGTGAACAGTCCTGTAAGAAAAGCAAAGAGAACAACAAAGCCAATTACTTCGTGAATTACAAAAATAACTGAACAACAGCTTTTGGCATGTTGTTCTGCCTTCGGCAGCCTTTCCAAAATGTGTTTAGCGCCCTCTGCCGTTTATGCGTATTTTTTCATGCCATCGTTTTAATCAGTTATTCATCACAATCGTGCTCTAGAAAATCAGTAATTTCGACAGGTTTTACCAGTATTCCAATCCCCTTAATCAGCACAATCTGTAAGTAATCTTTCTCTGATCATGTAATGTATAAGCTTTACTAGTTTTATCACTGTTTTGTGGGTTTTTGGGGACAATTTCTTAAAGTTAGTGTCGTTTATTTACGGACACGTGTACATAAACGTGTTCGGTCTCATGTACATTTTGAATAGGTTTATGTGGACATTTTGAGGGCTTGGTCTTTCCTTCTCATCCCGCTTACATGTCAATTTGGGGGGATTTGTCTACTTTGACATGTCTGAAATCTTTATTGTAATTTCTCTGTTATTTAATGGGGTATTTCCAGCCAGTTTATTCTCAGATTTTGGATTCTTGGGGTAGACTTGTCATAGTCCTTGGGCCATTTCCTGTATTTTCGTCTCTTTCATTAGTGGTCAATTAAGATAGTTCATGTAATCACCTCACACTAATTAATACTCCATTAATCTTCTGTACTTAATTGTTTAAACTCAAAATGTGTTCTGTATGATTTAAATTGCAGTTTCACACCGCTTCCAATAAACAGCTGATTCGTCGACTTCACTACAGTCCATTTTTGGCTCATTTTGGGAGAGTGTTTAGCCTCTGCATAGCTGCGCACGTACACGTGCAGTGAGGGCAGAAGACATGTGTCTATTTAGGCAAACTAATCAAGCTCCAGTCACAGACACAGCGTAGCCCGTTTTATTCTGTCCCCCTCCCCCAGTAAAGTATTACATGTGTAGTAACACCTACATGACTTAACACTGTCACCAACACTGAGCTGAGCGACTCATACATGTCATATGCGGTTATGCCTTCTGAAAGTTCAAGTTCTGTTTAACTGGTTAGGCCACCCAAGTCCAGTCTTATGAAAAAAATATACAATTACGACTACGACTAAGTACAAGCAAATATAATATATAGGCCCTATAAATGGTAAACAAATGTTAGACTGGCCGGGGAGCGGGGACACACTATCTATATTTTCATGAAACTACTGCAACAACAATCAGTTGACAATAAACATGATAAACTGAATGAATCTTCTATCAACTTTAAAGTCGGCTTTCCTGTTTAATTGAACACAATTGGCTCACCTGGATCGCTCTCGAGCTCAAGCCACCCTTCATTCATGACTTCACTATTTCTTAAACCGAATACATGTAAGTAACGTAAAATTACGAAATTAAACACAATTTTGTCAGAGTTTGAACGAAGACCTCATTCAGTCATTATCATCTCACGCTGTTTTCGATACAGCGCGCCCTCTCGAGCTCGTTCGCGCAGCGATGAGAAGGTAAACTTGCAGCAAGTCCTTCACTGCGCAGAAGACATCCAAATTTTGAAGCCGGTTTCAAAGCGTAGTAATTTTCAATTTCAAACGAAAGACAGACGCGCTTCGTCTGCATACTTTCCTGGAGCCAAGTAGAAAATACTCAAAGTGCTAAGTGATTTGTTTCAGAAAGGGGCCAGTTTAATTCGAGTCACACGGGAACAATTTGATATCAAACGCTACTCATTTTTTCTCTAGCAAGGCACACACACATCATAATAAAAGATATAATTATTTAAGCACAGTTTTTGGAGTCTTCCAATAACTATGACTGGCGAATTCGTTTTGGAATATTTTAAAAGTGAAAAGAATGCATAAATATCTAGTATGATTCCTTAAATATTGGATGGTAAATAGCAGATTATGTATATGAAAAATGTTTCTTGAGACTAAAGCTTTTAACCATTCCGGACAATAAGATACATCACTTCCGAATATGCTAATTTCAAAGAAAGGTACTTATAAATGATAATTTTTAATGTCTAAAAACTAATATTTCTCATTCATTAAACTTACGAACCTGGATAATTCTATTTTTTATGCACTTTAAGTGGGGTTATTGAGAAAAATATGTACAATTTAGGGTATCATTGCAAAGTCGTTTGACTAAATTGAAAAGCTCCAACAGTGATTGATCCGGGGTGGGGATGGGAGTGGTGAGAGGGGGTCAAAATCCCCTATTGGACCGCAATCAAATTGGGAAAATGTGAAGGAAAATGCACGGATACCTTCTTCCCCCCCCCCCTCCCCCCCCCCCCCCCCCCCCCCCCCCCCAGCTAACTGATCCAGACCTGAACTCCCCCCCCCCCCGTCCGCTACGCCACTTGGTTTCACGTGCCTTAATTAATTTACTTTTAATAATCATTACATCTAGTTTTCCTCATCCCATGTTTATTATTAATCTGCAAAATTATCAAACTCCCATCCAGACAATCTACCGCCACAATCTATTTCTTCTTTTTAGACGAAGCCCCGCGGCCATCAGACGGCGGCATGTAGCCGTTAACCTTGTCTAGCGCCCTCTGTGCCTGACAGAGTTCCCGCCATGACTGACGTATGAGCAATGGCGGAATGATGGCCCATGGTGCGTTGAAGCCAATCACGTACAGCCAGAAGTAGATGGGGTGCCACAACGGGCCGTGGGAGAAATCCTCGTAGTACTCGGTGATGAAGTAGATCAGAACACCTGCGAGCAACAACAGTACGGAAATTGTTATTGCTAACAAGATCTGAGGATGATAGGCCTAATTAGAAGTCAGTTCATTAAGATGTGTGCCGAGCAAGTTTGGCATGAGTCAAGTGAGTTCAAGCGCGAAATGCTTAAACATAGTTCGACTCAAGTTTAACTCCACTCAAAGAGCTGTATAATAAAGAATTCCACTTGTAACTCCACCCATGCCTGATGACTAACTAATCGACCATCCGGGACCGTGCATTTCGTCATTCACAGCCGCAAAAGGCCGGGAAACAAGGACCGACAACTTTCATGACGAGGTCTGTGACCATCGTTCGACAAATTGCACTCAGCATTCAGCAGGTAGCCCGTCACAGGCAGGTCGTCATAACCATCACTCATATCAAATTTGGGTCGCACCACGAAGTGACGTATCGCGTGCACCAAGTCCATAGACGACGTCACTAGCACTTCGTGGTGCACCCGACGTAATGATCGAACGGATCGATCGGACTGTCGATAACCTTTGCCGAACTTACGCTGGTCGACAATGTTGGGACTGCTTCGAGTCGCACCGCTAGTTATACTAGCCGAACGTGTAGCCAGGAACGGCGGTCTCGTTACTGTTCGACCAGGAATTATTGAAGCAGTTTGCTAGCACGCCGGAATGAGTTGCGACATGAATCATTAAATATGTTGCCAACTTAGTTCTTGACTGCTTCAGCTTGTTCGTTGTACCACTTAAATTAAATTAAATCCTTTGTCAGGAAAATGTGGATAATTAACAGAGCCATGCGATTAAACAAATTTGAAAAAAAAATCATTCACGTCATACCAATGGTAACAATCATTGTTTTCTTTCGGCTTACCGTAGGTCTGACCAATCGAGACGGCAAGCTGCATCACGTGTCGCATTGGGTGCCTCGTTATGAACGCCCATACGATAAGGAAACATCCGGGTCCTTCCAGCCAAGCAGTTATGGTTTCCATGACGATGGTGCAAGTATCATTGCTATAGCAACAATAAATGGAAAGAAACTGATTTTAGACCACAAAGCATAAGAATCAGAGTTTTACGATCGTCGATCATGAATTAACAATGTAAAACATTATGACACGTACGACATAACAGACCGAAATGACGTTAATTGAAGAAACAAAATTTTGTAGTAAAACTTACGAAACATATCGACTGTCTCCCTTTGCATATTCTTTCCCTGAAATTGAAAAAAACAAAATTACTTGCATATCAACTTATTAATAAGTGAAAAAAAACCTTTTGAGCGTTGCTAAAAAGAAGCAGAACCCATCAAATGAAATCGGCCCGATCATGAGTGAAAAAGTGTGGAATTGGATATACTGATGGTGCCACGTGAACTCTCAAAAATTAATGCCCTGTCGAAATGTTGGCTGTCAGCTCTTGTCGACTTACACGTCTGCGCAAGGATGTGATCACTTCCTGCAATGGTGGCGCTCGTCACTGTCAAATACCCCTCCAAGACCACGTGGATGCAGCCGCTCATCCCAAACCAGCACAGGGTGGCCTTCTCCTGCAAGCCCAGGGCGCGACCGTACCGGTCCCGCTTGAACAGTACCCAGGCCAGCCCGTAAATCACGGCAAAGACACCCAGTGCGACCCCTAGGATGTACTCCAGGGAATGGGTGTTCTCCTTGTAGTGGGGAAGATGCATCCCCCTTGGGTAGTACGGGTGGGACACATTGGATGCCATTGCTGACGAAACTGGTCTCAGTATTTCAGGCTATATCTTTGGAATGACGAATCTTGTGAGACCTGACAAATTCAGACTGCACACGCTATATGCCTATGCCTCCTAGTCCTACCGGTATTGTGAGTACAATGCACTTGGTATTGAACTTGTTCGGTGCATTCAGTCACTGAGCGCGGTACATGACGATACAAAGTTCAAAGGTCAAGTCGTGCATTGTTATACCACGTGCTCTGAAGAACCGTGCCTGTTTTCCCAAATATAGAAGTTGAAATTGGCGATATCATTGTGAACGATAAGTATGGCTTTTGTAAATAATGCTGTGACCAATTTTAGCCTTTTGGGTTCTGTTTTTAGGCCCCTATTAGTGATAAAATTGATGATCGGAATCATTTGTGTACTCATGGAGCTATAAAAGGTCCTCCGGTGCTGGTGCGGAGTTTAAAACTTTTGCAAGTCAGAATGCCGCGCTAACAAATTTACTAGCTAAAAAATTAAATTATAAAAATTGGTCAATTAGGTGCCTACTAGTTTTTTGCACAGGTGCAGGGAATTGGAAATAGAACAGATGGCCAGATTTGTATACACATGTGTTTCCTATGAAAATCAGAGAAGCTGGGTGAAAATGATCGAGGAGTAAAGAACTTCAAGGATCACCCTCTTGAGTTTAGTTAAAGATCATGTTCTACATACTTAAGCTTCGACAGAAGTTCATGTCATGAACAGCGCCATATATAGTGTCAGATGGTGGCTATACCCCCTCCCCTTCGCTACTCGAATTTCTAGCATACTATATACTTTTTCATCATCACCCCCCCCCCCCTCATATTCATCATACTTACATATTTGAGCCAGTATGGTGTTACTGCCAGCAATAGTGCCACTGGTCAGAGTCAAGTATCCTTCCAATATCACATGGATGCATCCAGACATCCCAAACCAACAGAGTATAGCCTTCTCCTCAAACCTAAGCACACGACCGAAGCGATCCCGCCTGACCAGCATCCATGTGGCCAGAAAGGCGACTGCGAATGAGACTACGACTACAGCCACCACCACATGGAATGGCAGCGTGTTTTCCCTGTAGTGTGGAAGATGGAGGTCAAGTGGGAAATACGGATGGGCAAAATTCTCATCAGCAGGCCTGGACGCCATTTTGAAAACACTCTTTTCCTCTCTGTATAACCTATATGCCTGGACGTTGCAAAGGGATTTGCTTTTGGCAAATAGCACTGTATTCTCATACAAAACAGCGTATTCAACGTACGTGCACACGATCGTTGTAATCTTATTGTGCAACTATCGAACCATAAACCATAGACTTGTTTCAGTCCCTTGTAAACATCCTCCCGGCCCAAAAGTAAATAGCACTGTCGTCACATGTCATAATAATTGTGTTGAATTAAAAATCCAGCTTGTATACCGCCCGTCACGTTAAATAGGGTATGAATTGGCGTAAAAACCCTGCAGCGCCCGGCGGAAAATGGATATTTTTTTTATACAAACCTACACCAATATGGTTGTCTTGAAAATACAATATGGAGGCTTCGGTCAATAATTATGAATAAAACTTTTTCTTGATGTGTTTTAATGGACATAACATTGTGCTCATGTATATAATTAAATAATTTTTACTCATATAAATGATTTAAGCGAGCTGGTCCTGGTCGAACCGCGCAGTTTACACACAAAACTGGAAGATTTTTGACTAAAAATGCAGTGTTCAACATAATTTTGGCGAGGGAAAATCAGTGTTTTATCTAGTTTTTGTTTCATTTTCTGAAAGAATATATTGTTAAGGTCATACTGTAATAAGAACTAAGGTATACTCTGTCGAATAATGTAGTGACGGCGATAGATGCGAAAAAGGGCCTGTTTTCTCATAGAGCCTTGCACATGAAAACCTGCCCGTTGGGTTAGTTCCCCAAAGGAATCCATATAAAAGAGGGTATCGACATTCTGCAAAAAAAAATTGTTCAAGTCCCAAACCTTTGAACCCTCCAACCATGCTCCAACATACAGGCGCCCGCACAATGCAGCGTGTTTTTATTTGTTGACGCATGGAGGATGGTTGACGGAAGTCGTAAGCGCTTAACTTCTCCTCGTTATTATGTTTTTTTGGTGTGTTTTTTAGGGGGGGGGGTGTGGAGTTCAGCTATCAATAAGATAAAGTAGAATACTAGTACTAGATTGTCCACCCTCTTATTTAGTCAGGGTCATCACTTAGCACGAAACAGTGTATGCATATAAAATAAGGATGTCATGGATGACAGATTTTAACAACAGTAGCATATATGACACTTGAAGACAGCTTAATGAATGAGTAAACGGGGCCAACAAACTTTCGCTTCGTATATCGTTTCTTTCCCTGTTATGTGAGGTTCACTGACGATATAACTTGTAAGATATGATCTAAATGCAAATGTAAAACTGGTTTTTGGAATAAATATCGGGGATCGTTTTAAGAGTCGACAGTTTGCGCTTGCTGTGTCCCCAACCGGGTTTGTCTGAAACCGCATCCTGATTCAAAACTGTCCCTGTGGACGCCTTGAAGTTTGACAAAATGGCATCTTCTAACATCTCCCATCCCTTCTACCCACGGGACGTCCCCGTTCCCCACTACGTGCCCAACATCTACTCCACCTACCAGTTGATCCCCCCTGCCCTGTGCACATTCGGGCTCATCTTCTGGGTCGTGTGGCGGTACACACACACCGACAAGTTCGGCCGGGCGTTGGGGGGATGGGAAAAGGCGGCGCTGAGCTGGTGGGGGCTGTGCGGGTGTATTCACATGATCCTGGAAGGATGGATCAGTCTCAACAGTCGCACCTTCGCTGGACGAAATGATCTGTTTTCTCAGATGTGTAAGTTTAACAGTTTCAATAAAATTCTCTCTTATCGAGTGAAACTAAAAATTTCGAGTAAAAATTTATTCCATATGGCTTAAACTTAATAGGGACAAGAAGGGTTATTGCATGGGATATTCATACGTACAATCGAAAAGATCGAGTTTTCATCGTGTTGCGCAATGATTTATATAGAAGTGTGAGTTTGGCAGGTTTATGCTAATTCTATGGAGTAAAAAGGTCGAGTGAAAATGCACTGCTTCCAACTAAAACGAGGAACAAGAATCATTATCATCGATCGAATAGATTGTGATCCCTTTGTAGAAATTGTCAAAATGTTTCAACCTAAAATTTGAGCAAGTTTCACTCTTAATTGTGTGGTCCATAGGGTCCATAGTTTTTTGACATTTTGCAAACATCCGTGTGTTATCTGCAAAGTTTTACTCATATCGGAAAAGGGATTTTTTGTGTCGCTATAATCACACCACTCGCCCGGCGTGAATGAGCACTTTGCTCTGTACATGGTGAGTCAAAAAAAAAAGCGGAACCCAAACCCCAAAAATTATTTTTCATATTTAAAAAAAACATGTAGCACCAAAAATAATAATGACTTGAATGCCAATTTCATATCATAAGCTACTTGTACATGAAAGAAATACTGAAATTGCTCAATCCGTTCAAAGAATATCACCAGTTTTAAGCGCAATGACCCTAAAACCTGTTTTTTGTTTATTGTGACTGTTTGGAACAACAAAGAAAATGCCACAGAATACTTATTCTAACAACTGTAGTAGTACACACTATCTTTATTAACAACGGTGACCCTGGTTAGGCAAACAATATGATTTATAAAATCCACTTTTCTAAAAGACGGGAGTTCAAAATGACTTTGTAGATATTTTTTAAACTGAGGTTTTATCGCTGGTGATGTTTGAAGACAATTGTGAAGATGATTTTTGCAATTGCACTTTTGGACGAAAGAGGTTTTTGGGTCATTGTGTTTAAATGGTAATATTCTTTGAAAGGATTGAGCAATTCCAGTTTTTTTTTTCATTAAAAATTAGCTTATGAAATTGGTGTTCCAGTCATTATTGATGGTGCTTCATATTTTTTTAAATACGAAATATAAGTTTTGGGGGTTTTGGTTCCGCTTTTTTGACCCACCCTGTACAAGGTCGATGGAATTAATGAATTTACGTTTTGTGCCACCCTGCACCAGGGTGCTTTTGGATTTTTTGCATTTGCGACATTTCGCGAAAACTGTACAAGTGTACATCCACAATTAAAGAAATTGATATGAAAAAAATGTGCGCAAGTCATCAGCCGAAATAAAGCACTCGAGGCCCAACTCGCGGGAAAGAAACGAATTCCACTTTCCAGACTCGGCCTATTATTTATGCCAATGTGTTAGTGCCTTGCTTTAAAAAATGTGACTTTGATTTTATAGAACGAATAAGATAAAACTTAATCTTTTTTATTACTTTTACAGGGAAAGAATATGCAATGGGTGACAGCCGATATGCACAGTAAGATATTGTTTACTTCTCCATAAACTTTTCTTTCGAACCACCATTTGAACCTCGAATTAGTAGACCAAAGGTCAAGGAAACCTCATAGTTTTTGCAAGCACACTGGAACAGAACTTGTAAATCGTGATAGTTTTGAAGGTTTGTCTCACTATTAATTTCTTTTCTCAATATTGACGTTATATTCTTCCATCTTATACTTCATAATCTGGTCTACTCACAATTCATCTCATAATCTGAAGTAATCCTCAATTATTATGTCTGAGTGAGCGGTGGAAAGGCGATTTCCGTGGCCGAGATAATTAAACGGGGGATACTTTGACCGATATTTTCGAAAAAAACTTTCACTGACAACAACATGATGTGATAAAAATTAATAATAAAAACCAAAAGTATATGTTTCCGAAATTCGTTCACTTTATAAAACCACATTGCAAAACTTGTCTCAAATCTGGAAAATGTATAGCCTTGCAACATTACTGCATTATTCTTGCCCAAAAACATGCCGCACATTATTTTTAATCTTTTATTTTCCCATGTATTTTATGTTTTTTCTGTTCATTTATATATTTGTTTTTTCCTTTTCTTCAATTAAACAGTGGCGACGCCTGTATCACTATCATGGAGGGCCTCACAGCCTGGCTAGAAGGACCCGGATGTTTCCTCATCGTGTGGGCGTTTCTGAACCGACACCCGATGCGTCACGTGCTCCAGTTCGGCGTTTCTATTGGCCAGTTTTACGGTAATGAGGATCAATAGCATTCCTTTGATAGTAGCAATACTTCAATTTATAGTTTTTCTTTAAAACCGTTCCTTTCGGTTTATGTGCGCCAGCGGCAACGGCTATATAATTCTCTCCAAAAAAATGAAGGAAACGCAGAGCTTTTTGGGTAATAATGCAGCCATGACTACGCATATACAGGGTGAGTCAACAAAAAAGCGGAACCCAAACCCCAAAACTTATATTTCATATTCAAAAAAAAATATGTAGCACCAAACATAATAATAACTGGAAACCCAATTTCATAAGCTACTTTCACAAAAATTACTGAAATTGCTCAATCCGTTCAAAGAATATCACCATTTAAACACAATGACCCTAAAACCTCTTTCGTCCCAAATGCGATTTCACAAATCGTCGTCACAATTATTGTCTTCAAACATCGTCAGCGATAAAACCTCAGTTTAAAAGTTGAAAATATGCAACAAAGTCCTTTTGAAGGCCGGTCTTTCTTTTTTTTTAAAGAAGTGGATTTTATAAATCATATTGGTTGCCCAACCAGGGTTGTTAATAAATATTTGTTGTCAGTTGTTGAAACAAGTATTCTGTGTCATTTTTTTTATTGTTCCAAGCAGTCAGAATACACACTAAACTGCTTTTTTTGACGAAACAGGTTTTAGGGTCCTTACAATTTAAAAGTTTCCAGTGATATATAACAACGATGGGTGCAAGAAAACGACTTGAATTCAAAATACCTAAACTTGTTGCAAACACAGACATATGTCTGTGGTTGCAAAGCAATGTAATCCTATAGGCCTAACGCCTCCAAGCGTCCATGTGCGCACTCTACTGTATCCTATCAAGGACGCTTTATCATGCAAACACCAGGTCTCGTTAATATTAACCGGCCCCCAAAAGTCCAAGTTCCTTTTTACCGGTAATAAATATCTCTATAAATATCTCTCCTTTCTATTTAGTATAACATTGTGAGGTTTGTTTTTTCTGCAGGTACCCTGCTTTACTTTTTCACCGAGATTTTTGATGACTTCGCCCACGGCCCCCGCTTCCACCCGTACTACTGGTGGTTCCTGGTCTTCGGTCTGAACTCTCCCTGGCTCGTGGTACCCCCGATCCTGATCTACCAGTCCTGGAAGGAGCTGAACAAGGCGCAGAAAGGACTGGACAAGTCTACTGGATTCAACATTGGCAACGGAAAGGAGAGGATCAAAAACAAAAGCGGTTAAGGTTCAAAATAATGATCGGGAACAGATGAGGGTATATCGCATGCGTGATTGTGACGTCATTAGCACACGCAACATTAACTGTAAAAGGCATGCGATCAAGCCAAATGAGTCGTTTGTCGGGAATTTTTCTTTGGAGATACAGGCCAAAATAGGGCCACTTCATCACATCGATTCAGTGCATCTCTTGGTGTTCCGACTTCCATAATTTTTGAACTAAAGATGGTATCAGCATGCGGTTTTCACAGCAGTAATGCTGAGATTGTGCTCTTTTCAAATCTGTAATAAGAAATATTTTAACCATGGTCGACAAACGACTCATTTAGCTTGATCGAGTGAAAATAAGTTTGTTGACCCCAGCTGGCGCCATTCAATTTATAATATTATTATAAATTGAATGGCGCCAGCTGGGGTCAACAAACTTATTTTGAAAATAAGTTTGTTGACCGCCACATTCCGGGTATCCAAAGACACTGGTACCCTCTTTCTTCTTTGACCTTTTCAAGTAGATTTTGTGAGAGGAATTCGGCCATGTCGGAATTACATAATTGGCCGTGGCTGGTTGTAACACACGGGTCTATGGCAAGTGGCTGCAGCCGCTTCCATAGGCCCGTGTGTTATTTCAAGCAGTAGCCAAGTAATTCGGACACGGCCGAATTTTGATGACCCACAGTCACTACTTGCGCATGCGCATATTATGTTCGCACAGATTTAGACACCTCCGCTTTGCGAAGTTTGTTTTTCCTTTTTAAATGTTGTTAAAGGATTCAGACCTTGAATAGTTGGATAGGAAGGTTGGTAGAGTACCAAAGTACATGGAGTTATAGTTTGACCACAATGACGACATTATCGCTGGTCCACGTGCGCTGTTCATCAGTTTAGCTTTAACAATCACTGCGTGTATACCAGGGACAGTGGGTTTTATAATTGTAATAAGCCGAACGAGATCAGTTGAGCAAAGCGAGTCTGGATTCTGATGGCTGTCCGTGGATTTCGGTTCTCCGTTACAGACTTTGAAAGAAGGGGTCGGGAACCAGTCGTAGAGGCAAAAGCTTAGGCGCACGGTACGCGTGCCCATAATGCTGTAAAACGCCGCTATAACGAACACCGTTATAACGAACATTTGGCTATTACGAACATCCCCTATGGTTCCCAAAATATTAAATTATATTAATCACTAAAACAAACTAACCAATATAACGATCATTTTTTACGGACCCCGTGTACATGTAAATTGGTTAAATTGTCACTCAACCAGACCTAATAGTTATTAAGTTAAAACAGTTTTACTAAACATATTATTAAAAGCCAAGCACTAGAAATATTTATGTTATCATATTTCACCCTGAGCTGAGATAATTACAGAATATTTTCCATTCCTTGTAGGCATCGGTTTAATCTATTTGTCTAAAGGCTTAGAATTTTTTTTTTTATTTAAAAGACTTTTATTACAAGCATTGTTTAATTTTATTACCGAGTTTGTTGTGAGTATCATGTTACGAGTTTCACTATTTTGCCAGTGATCTCTCAATTTGGTTTATTTCTCTCTATAAATAGACTAAACTTATGCAAGAGGATAATGTGTGAATCAACGCCAAAGTTGTAATTAAACAAATGTGTCTTTCTATTGTTTTCCCTCTGATGTGGTGTTGAAATTAAAATATATACGAAACATAATCCAAATAATGCCAAGTGGTACAAGTCTTTCTGTGCCTTCCAGTCTCAATGTTCACTGCAATTTTCGAATTATTTTCTTAAAAGCATCAACTTAATTTTACACCCCGTTGCACGGGTTTCCGTTGTAAGGAATTCGAATGCTTTGCTCCTTTAAATAGAGGAGTAGTGTAGGCCTATTGTTTTTGTTCATCGTTGGCCAGAAGGAACCAAAACGATCATTTTTGCACTTTGCAATAAATCCTCCAATGAATTTTCACATTCTATAGGTGGTAACTTACGCGTTTTAAGCCCTAAGATTTGGTCCCAATATAAAAAAAGCTGGGTCTTTTTTGCAGGGGAAGGTGCTTGCGGCTTACGGGGCCCTCATAAAAATTGGTTTGTGCCTTCCCCAAATTCTGAGTATTGGGGGCACAAAGGCCTCATGCGGGAGGGGGGCATAGCTTCCGTAAGCAAAAAGGGGGGTAAACATTTTTCTTGAAAAGGGCACTCGCACATCCGTGCTGAATTTTTTTTTCTCCGGAAACTTGGCCTCCGTAAAATCAAGAGAGTGGGATGAGGAGGGTAGGGGGTGGTATGGGTGACGGGTGCCCTGTTCACAACAGACGATTATGCAAACTAACAGACAATATATATGGCGCTTTTCAGGGCGACACATTCGCAAAATGTAAAAAAAAAAGGCACTCGTAACGGACGCTGTATGCCACAAAAACGGCACGATTTTTTTTTTGCCAAAAAGGGCACTTGTTCGAAAATAAAAAGCCACTCGTTAAAAGTATGGGGGTGTAAGCGCTGGTGACAAAAGGGCACTTGAATGGAAAAGGGCAGTCTTTACAAAATATCCCCCCCCCCCTCCCCCGCTATGTGCTCAGACTGGCAACATAATTCGGAACATTTGACAACACAGGTTTTACATCCAAATTGAACAAGAATGAAATAATTCCAGCAGCTTTGTTTTCCATTTTCTACTCTTTTGTTTTAATTATATACTATCAAAATTCCACTTTGTCTGCCTCGAAGTATATCGAAGTGTATGGGCAAACCCATACAATTTACGGTATCTTACAACCAAGAAATAAAGTAACATGCTGAGATAACTAAAAAGAAATGCGAAACAGAATGGTTATGTACACAATGTACTATACCAAATACGCCTAACACTGCTTTTTGTATAATATTCAGAGACATTTTGTGTCAAATGGGCCTACAAGATCTACAAGACGAAAATCGTTTCTGTATTTCCAGGTATACAGAAGAATGCATAACACGGACAACTTGATCAACATACGAATAAAATCTTACAGATCCAGATATATGGATTTAGGTGATTAAGAAATATCAAAATTATTGAAAACAAAAATCGAAATAAATGTACATGTAAATATACCTTCAGTTATAAGACTTAGTGATTCCATGACAATTCCATATTGATACTGTGACGATGAAAAGATCCGAAACTTGTATACACATTGTTAGCTTCATAGTTGCACCTACATCCGCACTCTGCAATACTTTACGTTCATCATTTGAAAACAATTTTGAGAATTTATTCTTTTGACTTTTGTTCGTGTAAAGGCGATGTAAAAGTGTCAGTAATCGAACAGAGACACCAACTTTGAATAGGTATAGAGAGGTGAGCTTCATTTGTCGATATATACATGTATATATTTTGACGGAATGATGCATACATTATTAAGAAGAAACGTGTATCACAAACGACTATCAGTTCGTTTATGAATGTGGAAACTTACTGTATACGTACTTCAAATTTATTCTTTAAGCCGTTATGAGTTTACAGAAACATTTTAATTTTCTCTCTGAAAAACAGGCCCCATTCAGGTTCTACCGGCTTTCTTTATCTGACTTTCTCTTTTCCGTTTCCAATGTTGAATCCAGTAGACTTGTCCAGTCCTTTCTGTGCTTTGTTTAGCTCCTTCCAGGACTGGTAGATCAGGATCGGGGGTACCACGAGCCAGGGAGAGTTCAGACCGAAGACATAGAACCACCAGTAGTACGGGTGGAAGCGGGGACCGTGGGCGAAATCATCGAAAATCTCGGTGAAGAAGTAAAGCAGGGTACCTGCAGGTACAGAGGGTTGAGAGAATTAGTTCCTTTAATGCTATTATAGGTTTTCCCGGCCAATTTCCTAAAATGTTCATTCACTTCTGAAAATCGGTCATTAGTTTCGTCTGAATTTGAGAATCGCTCTGAACACGCGTTTCATTTTCGCTATACCATTCGATTCCATTTCAGTTCAATCAATAAAAAGTGATTGAGCAGCACCTTTCGTTTATGTCCATTCAGATTCGTTTACAAGACTTCTTTTTCGCTTTTAGAGGGCGATTTCAAAAGATCACCATTCTTTTTCACTTTTAGTTTAATGCGCACGGTGCGCCCTTAACGGCAGCTTTTGTAATTACTCGGCGACAATGAAAGTACAATGTGTTTACTCATTATGTATCACAGAACAACAAAGACGTGCCCTCAATGTGACGTCAGTCACATGCAAAGGGTCTATTGGTCTATATGTGTAAGTGCATGGTATCTTACCGTAAAATTGACCAATGGCAACGCCGAACTGGAGCACGTGACGCATCGGGTGTCTGTTGAGGAAGCCCCATACGATCAGGAAGCATCCGGGACCTTCTAGCCAGGCAGTCAGGCCTTCCATGATGATGATGCAAGCATCAGCCCTGAAAGAAAATCAAACAATCGATTAATTTCTGGCATTTAACCTATTCGTGCTTGCCACTCGAAATCAAAAACACATCCACATCGATCACCATAATCAATTAAAAATTAATTAAAAACAAATAAAAGTTGACTCATATAGTCGGCGCAAAAATTGTCTTTATTCAAAAAATTACTGTCCCTTCTTTGAATCCTTTGTTTCTATTTTCAATATTTTTTTTCCAATTAAAAATGCTTTGAATACTTACTGCATGTATCTGCTGTCGCCCTTTGCATATTCCTTCCCTGTAAAAAAAAAAGAGAGAAAACCAAAATTCAGTGGATGTATTTCAAAAACTAACACCACACAAATCAAAATATCTGTAGGTGGACATGTACCACTCTGTTTCCTGTAAACTTATCTAGAACAAACAAAATGGTTTCAGAAAAACACGTTTTTAGCTGAGTGGTCCAAGTCCTCTTAGTACGTCACCTCAATGACTGACTGACTGACTGACTATTCACTGTATACTTGCTTAATTCTCACTTTGATCAAAAAAAAAATGACTTGAATTACTACGTAAATCAATTAATCTAAACATTTTAAAGCTTTTTCACACTAGACGAATCTCGAGGTGGATGCGGCGTTGACGCAGGTTGAAAACAAGCAGCGCTTCACACTTGAAAATGTTCAACTATACGTCAACCCTGAGATTGATTTCGCCCCGGGTTGAACTCAACCCTGCTCAACCCGGGTTGATACTCCCGCCAGGGCTCGAAACAGTAACCGAGCAAAATAAACTGTGCCAAGTGAACGTGTGCCAGTGAAACGATGCGGGATTGAACGCGGGTTGAAAAATAAAAACATCTCATCCCTTGGCAGGGCGGCACTGGGTTCTCCCAGGGTTGAGTTCAACCGGCGGGTCGAGAGGCTGTAGTTTGAAAAGGCTTTTAGACAATATTGGTCTGGCGGCAACTTACTAGGCTTGCCTAGCCTAGTTTTGTCCGTTACTGCTTAGTTTAATTTAAAGAAGCGGTTGATGAGACTCATTAAAAACGGATCACTTACTTTTTAAAACTGTATTTGATTAATTTTTTCCAAGTTTTTACGAAAGCCCTGTAGTGCCAACGAGTATATATTTTGTCCAAGTTCGTTTTTATGAGATATATTTTTCCCAAAGTTCGTTTTTATGAGATACATTTTCCCCAAAGTTCGTTTTTACGAGATACATTTTGTCGAAGTTCGTTTTTATGAGATACATTTTGTCGAAGTTCGTTTTTATGAGATATATTTTACGGAGTTACGGAGTTTTATGAAGTTACGGAGCCCCTAAAGGGACATCCAAAATTATTTTGTTATCTCGTGCGCACGACATAATATCTCGTGCGCACGAGGTAATTATCACGTGCGCACGAGATATATGTCGTGCACACGAGATATATGTCATGCGCACGTGATAATTACCTCGTGCGCACGAGATATTATGTCGTGCGCACGAGATAACAAAATAATTTTGGATGTCCCTTAAGGGGCTCCGTAACTTCATAAAACTCCGTAACTCCGTAAAATATATCTCATAAAAACGAACTTCGAGAAAATATATCTCATAAAAACGAACTTCGAGAAAATGTATCTCATAAAAACGAACTTCGACAAAATGTATCTCATAAAAACGAACTTCGACAAAATATATCTCATAAAAACGAACTTGGACAAAATATATACTTGATGGCACTACAGGGCTTTCGTAAGTTTTCGATAATTCCGGTCTGTAATCTAAACAAAGAGAAACAGAAAATAATGCGAACTTACAGAGTTGCGCCAGGAAATTGTTGCTCCCGGGGAAAGTGCCACTGTTGAGGCTGACATATCCCTCCACGACCATGTGAATACAGCCGCATAGCGCCCACCAGCATAGGGCTGCCTTCTCCCATGAGCCCAAGAACCGGCCAAACTTGTCCTGCTCGGTGTACCTCCAGACTATCAGGAAAATGATAACGAAGGAGCCGAGAGTCAGGCCCGTTACGGCGACATCGGGGAGACTGTTTGGTACGTAGTGCGGTAGCTCCAGCCCCAACGGATAATACGGGTGAGATGTACTATTTAAAGTCATGGTTGCGATTACACCAAGACTCACAAGTGCAGCTCTTAAACTTTATGAACGTTTTGAGCAGTCGCGATTTCCAAGTGTTCGTTTTTATCTCGTGGAAGTGGTCAATCAAAGACTTGAAACATCGTTCTTTCTTTAGAAAGCAAAAGATGTGATACGGGCATATAGGTTACATTGCACATCGAATGTCGTTACATTTTGCGGGTAGGTGATATTTTGTAAATGCCCAAATATGGATGCGCCCGCGCAAACCCAAATTTGGAATATCACGCGGGCCATTCGTGATCTGTGGAGTTTTGCTGGTCACAGAGGGAATACCCCACCTCCTTGCAACTGACTGACTGACTCAATCATTATAGACTTGCTCAAGCCTGTAACCTTAAGTTTGCCAAAAAGTATAGTATTATACCATAACGCCATTTGAAATCCGGCCGGATGCGTGAAGACCGGGACCAACTTTAGGCATGCCTTTCTTAGATAGTTCAAACATGAAGTCGGATTGGTGTCGACCAAAAAAATCATGAGACGGTATCGAGTAATATGGGTACTTTTACATCAGGAAGATTGCTGCAACATTGTTTCCGATGATTTTTTTCTTTTTTGAATAACCATCGTTGTTTATTCCCAGCATACCGAAAAAAATTGTAACTCAGTGCCAAATGAGAACTTGCAATAGGCCCCATGTCCTAGGTTATAGTCAAAGAACAAAATAAGATTAGTTTTTTCATCACAAGCTTCCGGACAGAACATGACATGGATGATTGATGGCCCATAATGTTTACATTTATTCTGGGAGTTAAAATGAACTGGTAGGCAAAACCTTCAGCTGTGATACAGCAACGGAAACGTCTACTGATCATAGCCTAACTAATATAAGATTTGAGGCTTTGCATGGTGGGGTATCGGTATCGTTTCGGTTTGCGGTAACACCATGTGGTAATAACTACTGCTTAGAAGATATTAGTTCTGAAAAGAATTTGTCCTGCTTATTATCAACTTTGCTAAGTAGTTTTTTTGTTCTGATAAGAACAGTCCTGCTGTAAGTTCTAAACGAACTTGTCTTTGGTCTCAACGTTTCGACTAGCCTGCTCTAGTCATCGTCAGGAGACTTATCAGAACAAAAAACTACTTAGCAAAGTTGATAATAAGCAGGACAAGTTCTTTTCAGAACTAATATCTTCTAAGCAGTAGTTATTACCACATGGTGTTACCGCAAACCGAAACGATACATAGCCTAACTAGTTATAGAATATCAAAAGGTGTACACTAAAAATATGACAAATAAGTAATTAGCCAATGTTGGTCATTGCAACATATAGGCTACTGCCTACAATCCTGAGCAAATTTTTCCCCCAAATTCAAGCTGCTCATGCATAATAAACAACTCTAAATGTCATACTTATTTCTGGCAAGTATATAGGCCTACATAACGTTGCCAAAGAGTGTTTATTTAACCATTTTTGTTTTCACGGTATAAACGACATAATTAATAAAAAAGTGTTTGTTAGGCCAAAAAAAAAAGTCTCCGGTTTCTGGTATGGAGCTTGCCCAAAAAGTGGTGCGGCGACGCGGCTTTTTTTTTTTTTTTACCTGATTTTTTTTGCTTCAAATGTCGGCTGATGACTGCAAATGGTGCCCGACTAAACTTAGTGCAAATATATGGGAGTCCAGAGAGGCCACATAAAGCTTATTCTCGACCATAACCCAATCTAAAAACACTTTACAATTGTGCAGCAGCAGGATTCCAGTCAAACTAGTGAGTTTGACGGTTTTGAGAAATCATCTTTCATTGAAAAAAAAACTTTTTCATTTTGCCGACGCGCATGGCTACGGCGACGCGCGCGCATACCAGAAACCGGAGCCTTTTTTTTGTTGGCCTTATCAAGTGTTTTTCGGGAAAGAATATTGCATCCTGAAGCCACTCATTTTCATCATAGCAATGAAGGTCAGTCAATGCAAAAATGTTGAAAAGACATGAATCTGTGACTGAGGAACATTTCCAATTTTGTTAAGAAATACTTTGAAAATGTTCTTGACTCTCCGTTTGTACACAACTGCTGAAATTGCGTCTGGACACTGCATTCTTCCCCTGTTTCAACAACACTCACTAAAGAGCAGTAAAGATCGGCAGGATATTTTCAAGCCCTATTCCACAAGGTGATTTTAGGCTCGGCATATCGACAAAAGTGGGATCAATGTTAGCAGAAAGGATGCAGCTCAGCAGCTCCGAAAGAAACAGCCATCTTCTTTCTTGGCAAATCGGCTTTTTTTTTAAATTCCTTCAGCCTTCAGTGGACTCGTTTGACACATTGGAACCAGCAGAAATATATTTTTTTAGTTCGTAAAAGGTTGAGTAGTTTTAATGTCTTCCTGTGCAGGGCAGGCCGTGAAATACGCAGATAGTAGATGACGATATCACGGGCATGCGCACTCGGCGTGATCTTCGCTAGCCTTTCGTGCATTCTTGCCTCGCATTTGGATTACAATGTAAAAGAAAAGTAAGCATCATTCGTATAGATATTAACAACCAATGGGGTATAAACGAAAGAAGTAGCCTGATGTTCTATCCAAATGAGTCAATTCTTTTAATACATGTACCTGTTTTCACATGCATTATTGAAAGTCTATTTTGGGTCAAATCATTATACACATCCATACTTTCACACATTGCTGCAAATAGAGCTTCGGTTCGGGCCATTTAATATCGGCGACTATCCCAAGTCAGTATTTCACACATTTCCAACGATTTTGTTCAACAAGTCTTCATGTTTGTAAAACACCCTTGGCCGGCCGCGATATTTTTTTCCGTACACATACGTTCGTTATGGGCGTATTTCGAAGTACGTTGAGTTGCAAGTCAGGTTCTCGGACTTTATTTTCCCATGGAAAAGAAAATCCTCCAAACCACATATTAGTAAAAGAAAAATGTTCCGAATGTCTGACAAGAGAAATGCGCCACTTTTCATGGTGAAATCTCTTTTTTCCCCACCTGCCTTGATTGGCAACCATAGCCTTTACTCTGTGACAAATGACGCCACCCACTCCCCCCCCCCCCAAAAAAAAAAACCCCACACACACACAATTGAAAAGTGGCGCAATTCTCTAAATAGAACCTTTCATAAAATTGGTCACTGCTCAATCAACCGTGAATGTAATGACATGAGCAGGGTGTCATTTTAAAGAGGAGATTCAACCCTAACAGAGAATATCTCCTTTTGATTCACAATGTGCCCTACTTCTGTTTGAATTAGCAATAATATCTGGGTTTCGGTTGTTGTTTTTTATCCACCCTGTATAGTAGCCAGCATGTGGTACGGAAAAATAAATCACTGGTCGGCATGTCTACGGTATGTGCCGAGACCGTGCCTTGCGCGCGTAGTGCTGAACATCTCCTGCGATGTGTCCAGCTGGTGTTACAATTATCAGCGGTTGAAAACCACCCACGTGACAGGCTCTCTTGACCAATAGGAATTGGTAAACTGTCTCAGGCATTTTGTGTTTAACAATGTAGTGTTATCCCATCTTCCCATACACTGTGCAGAAACCGCCTCTAGAATATACTGGCACCCGTGTATGATGCAAATGCACTATATAACTCAAGACATAAAAGGCGAATGTGAAAGTTAAGAAACAGCTGATTGGACAGGTTGATGAGCTGAATGTACATACAAATCACTTCAAATGAATCAAATTAGGTTTTTGCCCTTCACTGACGTTTAAACACTGTTTACTCAGTGTGTTACCTCCCGAGTGAAAGTTGGAAAAAATCACTCGGGTGGGACTCGAACCCACGACCTCCTGCTTTCTAGTGCAGATGTCTTACCACTCGACCACCGAGCTAACGGGATCGGTTGGCTGGTTCGAATCTGATGTACATGGCAGCGGGTACCGTATAAACTATTTTAAGATGGAATTTTTGCGTCGGGGTGATATAAACTGAAAGATTTCAACTGAAAGAAATCAAAGTCAACATCAATGTTTCAAAAGAAATTTGTCACATTCGGACTGCATGGGTATTTTTTAATATGTGTTATCAAATAATAATTGATCTGCATCAAGATCTAAATTTTAATATGTTGAAATTAAAAAAAATAATGTCTTTAGAAAGCTTACAATTAATGAAAATGTCAAAATACATACTTTTTAATAAAATATACATTTTCTGGACTCTGAGTGGCCAGAGTGCTCTTAAAATTCAACTAAACTGGTAGTTTAAAATGTCCAAGTATATTATAAACATTATTCTTGTGTTATCTAATGCATAAAACAATAGCAGACACAACAGGAGAACACCATTTGAATTGGGTCAATTTGAGTAAGTATAAACAAGTCTGTGTAATATGGTCCGTGTTAAAATCAGATGGCGCACTCTAATTGTGTTTACTACATGTATGTCTCAAAAAGGCCGAAATAAAATTAAAGGCAGCTGCTAATTTCAAAAAACCTGAAGGAAATATTGTTTTAAAATTTTCAACTAACTTCCATTTAGGAGTGTGCATTTATAAGTATGGGTAGTACATGAACCGGGCACCCGGGTGATAGAAAAAAAATACATGGTTTCCCCAGTATATACCCGTTATTAAAAGAAATCCTACAACAAAATCACATCTCTGTAGATTGTTCATAGGTCGGCATGATACTAAAAATCGGTGCGTCAAAGCAGTAATTCGTGTGGGTACAGTGAGCTTTATAGACCATTATCATGTTGCGGCCGTTTGGATTTTACTAAAGCGAGGCTGGAAGGAAAAATAGTCTGGTTCCTTTTTGCATACAAAATTATCATTCAGTACTGTTATTGGATACATGGAACAAGACTGAAATGGTAGCAGCATGATAAATGTCTATAGCTTTATCTATAGAAAACTGCAACTTCTGTTTTGTTTTCCATGTAGCCTGGTTTTCATTTTGAAAATTCCCCACAAATGACATTCAAAACCTTTCTTTTTCATTGTCTGAAAAGTTACCAAGTAAATTGTAAAGTCGGTTACAGGTAACCGATCCGTAAATCTGGAACCGGTTCCTCATCAATGGTCGGGTGCTCGGATACCCGGTTCCGATGCTCAGCCCCACTTCAATTAATGTTTTCATTTACGGGTAGTTTATTCTTGCTATAAAAACAAATTGACTCCTTTAAAAGATACATGTATTTTAATACAATATTTCTAAGATTTTGTCAGACTAAACAGTGAAGGCTAAAACAACTTTGGCGAAAAATAAGTTTTGGGGGAAAATATTAAGCTTTATTTTTTACATTTGTTTCATCATAAAATTCCATTAAAATATATATGCAGTAGATACATTTGTATTACACTCATTAGCTATTAAACCCTCCTGTGCTCAGTGACAATTTGCAGAGCATTGCCCTACATATCAAAAACAAAACATTAGGTGACAGATTTCACCAAATCTGCCAATTGCCCTCATAATGGTACAATTGACAATTTTAAAATGGCTGCTACCTGCATCAGTGGTCATACTATCTGCCAAACCACTTCAATAGGCTCTGACAGTTGAATCCATAAGGATTTGTGGCAGTTGGAGAGCAGCTTGTACAAAAACTGTCAAGAGCAGTGGGTGTTAGATTTTGTGACGGTTTGTGAGTTTTAAGTTGAAGTTAAGGAGGGTTAGTCACTACATGTATAATCAAGTAGCACACTCATTATAAATATTTATAAAACTTAAAAGTCATGAAATGACATTTTTACAATTGTGTTGTTTTAACCTCTGTTTCTGTAGTCACTTGAGAACAGAGGGAATAAGTAATTTATATTATGAATACAAAATTCGAAATTGAAATCTGAAGTCAAATATGCATTACTTACTTCATTCAATATTAGGGGCCTATTGTTTCCTTGCATAAGAGGAACATAACTTTACTCTTTAAATTTTTTTAAATTTCAAAAAGTTCCTGTTTTCTCAAAAATTCCACTGTTGTACACTCAAACCCAAATTTGTTTTTTTTTACACAAATTCAGGTACCTAGTAGTAGTACATTATCGACCTATTTAAAGCACATTATCATCATGGAGGCCAAAGCAACTGCCTCATAACATCTGAACAAATAACTGCCACTATGCCTCCACCACTGAAATGGGCCTTTTAAAATCTCAGATTGGTTTGTGCTTCGTAAAAGTCTTTGTGGCTGGTCTCTTGTACATTTTAATGGATCAGGTTTCCATCAAAATTTAAATGGAAGGTTACAAAGCCTGCCAGCTAGTCCAGTCGTCAGATATCTCAATAATACGCTTCTTATAGTTGACAAGGTCCTCAGTTCGCAAGCGGATCGTCGCGTCATAAAGCTCCTTGAAGAGAGGTAAAGTGGCCCCTTCATCATCCACAACGTTGGCCAGCCGTAGCAGTTCCTTGTTGTACTCCCACTGCAAGTGGTCCATCTTGTGAGCGTAGTGATGTGGGTACTTTAACTCGTCGCGACGATACTCGTAATCACGTTGCGTGTCGGCGTCCATGTCCGTCCTGCTGGGTAGGATCATGGTGCCGTCTAAGGCAGCCATGGCAAACCGTACCTGGCATGCTAGTAACTGGAAGGGGCTGATAGTCCAGACAACTCCAATGAAAGACAGCGAGGTGTGCTTGGTGTGCAGGATGTGTTTATACAGCGGCGATATCCTCTTCCGGTCTACGACAACTTCGCACTCCGGCGTCAAGAACGGGAAGTCGTAGAGGTATCCTGTGCACAACATCAGCACATCGGCCTCGACGCTTTGCCCATCTGTGAACACCACGCGGCCCTTGTCTATAGACTTTATATCCGGGACTTGTCGCAGGTTATCAGGAAGCAAGGCGTCGAGGTTCGGGATGTGATGACTGAGATAGATTTTGTCAACGAAGGTGTGGAGATCCACGCCGATGTCACGGCCAGAGGGTCCAGCACCGAACAAGACCACCGTCTGGCCCTTGAAATCCTCCGGGTGGCGGTATTCGTGACTGTGGATGACTTTTCCTGAAAACGTTTCCAAGCCAGGGATGTCCGGGTAACTTGGCACGGCATACTGACTGTTGAGAGAAGCACGTTCCCAAAGAAACAGACAGTTTTATGAAAATATGTAACAAATTCGTTTTGCCACACTTATAATGCCAATGTAGCACACGTCACATGAACTCTCCGAAAATTCCATTCCAAATTTGTAATACATGCATCACACTGGTTGTAGAAATGTACACACATTTTTAGGTCTTGTTTTATTTTTTTTGGGGGGGGGTGGGTTGGGGGGGGGGCACCTAGAGTCACAAATTTAGATCCACCATCATTAGTTGTATGTTTTTATTTGAAATGTCAAGTTAACCAATCTCTGTTTCATAAGACCTCAATGCAGAATCTGATTTTCCAAAACACAGTTCTGTCACTTTATAAAACATTAGATGCCGTTGGATCACATAACAAATGTTGAACAAAATTACAACTCCCAGATTTTCTCAAACTGCCAAGCCTGTCAGCCACAATATACCTTTCTCAGGGTAGGCCATCTTGAAAATCAAAGCAAGGCAAATAGTGCAAATAAACATGGCAGCCTAAAATTGTGTGCCACGGTGTACGAGTGACTCTCGCAAATAACCTGAAGGATATATTGTTTTAAAATATTAATCAATTAAATGACATGCATTATGTGATCATTTGTTCCTGAATCCCCAAAAGCTGAGAATTTACTAGGACAAGAAATTGACTCCTCTGACATTTTTTTAAAATTCTATCTTTCAAAGATTTTGCCAGACTAAATAGTGAAAGTACATTGGAAACAACAACTTTGGAGGAAATATATGTGAATAAATATATATGTTTTTTATTGATATTATTTAGCTTAATTCTTTACATTTGTTTTATCATAGCTTAAGTTTTTTTTTACATTTGTTTGATCATAAAATTCCATAAAACATACATTTAATAGATACATTTGTATTACACTCATTATCATCACCCAGCACACTCATTTTCAACGTTTGTTTTCGTTGTTTTAACCACTCTTTTTCTCGTTACTTGAGAACAGAGGGAATAAGTAAGTAATATCATGAATACATAAATTAAAATTGAAATCTGAAATCAAATATCTATTACTTCATTCAAAATTATTCTGTCCTTGCATAAATGTACTCTAATCTTTTTTTAAAGTTCCTGTACCCTCCAAAATCCAATGAATCTACTGTCAAACCAACTTTCTTTGTTCTAACCCAAATTGGGACACATAGTGCTATATGTAGTGGAATCTGGCAACCAGAATTGGAAGATTTTATACTGGGTTTTTTTAATCCCTTCAGCCTTCAGTGGAATCGGGTGACACATTGGAACCCGCAGAAATATATATGTTTAGTTCGTAAAAGGTTGAGTAATTTTAATGTCTTCCTGTGCAGGGCAGGCCGTGAAATACGCAGATAGTAGATGACGATATCACGGGCATGCGCACTCGGCGTGATCTTCGCGAGCCTTTCGTGCACTCTTGCCTCGCATTTGGATTACAATGTAAAAGAAAAGTAAGCATCATTCGTAATGATATTAAAAACCAATGGGGTATAAACAAAAGAAGTAGCCTGATGTTCTATTTAAATGAGTCAATTCTTTTAATACATGTACCTGTTTTCACATGCATTATTGAAAGTATATTTTGGGTCAAATCATTATACATCCATATTTTCATCCCATTCAAATTACTGCAAATTTAGAGCTTCGGCTCGGCATGGGCTCGGGTCACTATCGGCGAACTGGCCGCTAGCCTCAAAACAAGTCAATAATTCACACAACAGTTCCAACGATACAGTTTTGTAAAACACCCCTCTGGCCATGTCAATATGTGCCTCGCGCGTGAACGTGTCCTGCGATGTCTGGTGTTTTATCAGCGGTTTAAAACCACCCACGTGACAGGCTCTCTTGACCAATAGGAATTGGTAAACTGTCTCAAGCATTTTTTTGTTTAACCATGTACATGTAGTGTCATCCCATCTTCCCATACACTGTGCAGAAACCGCCTCAAGAATATACTGGCACCTGTGTAAATATGCAAGTGCACTACAACTCAAAACGTAAAAGGCGAATGAGCAAGATAAGAAACAGGACAGCTGATTGGACAGGTTGATGATCTCAAGATGACACCGCATGCATGTACATTGTACGAACAAATCACTTCAAGTGAAAGAAATTAAAGTCAACATCAATGCTGCAAAATAAATTTTTCACATTCAGACTGCATGGGTATTTTTAATAAATGTTATCGAAAATAATAATTGATCTGCATAAAGATCTAAATTTTAAACCTTAATGTCATAGCTGAAAACTTAATTCTTTCAATTTCTTTAATTAATATGTAGAAATTTTAAAAATAATGTCTTTAGAAAGCTTACAATTTAATGAAATTATTAAAATACATAGTTTTTAATAAAATAGACATTTTCTGGACTCTTAATGGCAAGAGTGCTCTTAAAATTCAACTAAACTGAAAGTTTAAAATATCCACGTATATTATAAACATTATTCTTGTGTTATCTAATGCATAAAACAATACCAGACACAACAGGAGAACACCATTTGAATTGGGTCAATTTCAGTAAGTACAAACGAGTCTACGTAAAACCAAATGGCGCACTCCTATTGTGTTTACTACATGTATATCTCTCAAGGCTGAAATGGAAGTAAAGGCAGCTGCTAATATTAAAAAAAACTTCAGCTGCAGGAAATATTGTTTTAAAACATTCAACTAACTTCAATTTAGGGGTGCGATACTACCACTTTACCACATTGTTGAGTCAATGCAGTAATTCATGTGTGTATGGTGAGCTTTACAGACTATTAATCACGTTGCGGCCATTTGGATTTTACCAAAGCGAGGCTGGAAGGAAAAATAGTCTGGTTCCGTTTTGCATACAGAATTATCATTCAGTACTGTTATTGGATACATGGAACAAGACTGAAAGGGTGGCAGCATAACAAAGGTCTTAGCTTTATTTATAGAAAACTGCAACTTCTGTTTTGTTTCCCATGTAGCCTGGTTTTTATTTTGAAAATTCCCCACAAATGACATTCAAAACCTTTCTTTTTCATTGTCTGAGAAGTTACTAAGTAATTTGTAAAGTTGGTTACATGTAACCAATCCGTAATCGGATACCCGGTTCCGATGCTCAGCCCCACTTCAATTAATGTTTTCATTTACGGGTAGTTTATTCTTGCTATAAAAACAAATTGACTCCTTTAAAAGATACATGTATTTTAATACAATATTTCTAAGATTTTGTCAGACTAAACAGTGAAGGCTAAAACAACTTTGGCGAAAAATAAGTTTTGGGGGAAATATTAAGCTTTATTTTTTACATTTGTTTCATCATAAAATTCCATTAAAATATATATGCAATAGATACATTTGTATTACACTCATTAGCTAACCCTCCTGTGCTCAGTGACAATTTGCAGAGCATTGCCCTACATATCAAAAACAAAACATTAGGTGACAGATTTCACCAAATCTGCCAATTGCCCTCATAATGGTACAATTGACAATTTTAAAATGGCTGCTACCTGCATCAGTGGTCATACTATCTGCCAAACCACTTCAATAGGCTCTGACAGTTGGATCCATAGGGATTTGTGGCTGTTGGAGAGCAGCTTGTACAAAAACTGTCAAGAGCAGTGGGGGTTAGATTTTGTGACAGTTTGTGATAGTTTTAAGTTGAAGTTAAGGAGGGTTAGTCACTATAATCAAGCAGCATACTCATTATAAATATTTATAAAACTTAAAAGTCGTGAAATGACATATTTTTACAATTGTGTTGTTTTAACCTCTGTTTCTGTAGTCACTTGAGAACAGAGGGAATAAGTAATTTATATTATGAATACAAAAATCGAAATTGAAATCTGAAGTCAAATTTGTATTACTTACTTCATTCAATATTATTGTTTCCTTGCATAAGAGGAACATTAAGTTACTCTTTAATTTTTTTTCAATTTCAAAAAGTTCCTGTTTTCTCCAAAATTCCACTGTTGTACACTCAAACCTAAATTTGTTTTTACGCAAATTCAGGTATACCAAGTACATTATAGACCTATTGAAGCACACTATTATCATGTAGGCCCCCTTCAATGGCGAAAGCATTGTACAAAGCAACTGCCTCATGACAGACCTAGCTGGCACTATGCCTCCACCTTTGAAATGGGCCTTTAAAATGTCAGATTAGTTTGTGCTTCGTAAAAGTCTTCGTGACTGGTCTCTTGTACATTTAAATGGTTCAGGTTTCCAACAAAATTTAAATGGAAGGTTACAAAACCTGCCAGCTAGTCCAGTCGTCAGATATCTCAATGATGCGCTTCTTATAGTTGACAAGGTCCTCAGTTTGCAAGCAGTTCGTCGCGTCATAAAGCTCCTTGAAGAGAGGTAAAGTGGCCCCGTCGTCATCCACAACGTTGGCTAGCCGTAGAAGCTCCTTGTCGTATTCCCACTGCAAGTGGTCCATCTTGTGAGCGTAGTGATGTGGGTACTTCAACTCGTCGCGACGATACTCGTAATCACATTGCGCGTCGGCGTCCATGTCCGTCCTGCTGGGTAGGACCATAGTGCCGTCTAAGGCAGCCATGGCAAACCGTACCTGGCATGCTAGTAACTGGAAGGGGCTGATAGTCCAGACAACCCCAATGAAAGACAGCGAGGTGTGCTTGGTGTGCAGGATGTGTTTATACAGCGGCGATATCCTCTTCCGGTCTACGACAACTTCGCACTCCGGCGTCAAGAACGGGAAGTCGTAGAGGTATCCTGTGCACAACATCAGCACATCGGCCTCGACGCTTTGCCCATCTGTGAACACCACGCGGCCCTTGTCTATGGACTTTATATCCGGGACTTGTCGCAGGTTATCAGGAAGCAAGGCGTCGAGGTTCGGGATGTGATGACTGAGATATATTTTGTCCACGAAGGTGTGGAGATCCACGCAGATGTCACGGCCAGAGAATCCAGCACCGAACAAGACCACCGTCTGGCCCTTGAAATCCTCCGGGTGGCGGTATTCGTGACTGTGGATGACCTTCCCTGAAAATGTTTCCAAGCCAGGGATGTTCGGGTAACTTGGCACGGCATACTGACTGTTGAGAGAAGCACGTTCCCAAAGAAACAGATAGTTTTATGAAAATATGTAACAAATTCGTTTTGCCACACTTATAATGCCAATGTAGCACACGTCACATGAACTCTCCGAAAATTCCATTCCAAATTTGTAATACATGCATCTCACTGGTTGTAGAAATGTACACAAATTTTTAGGTCTTGTTTTATTTGGGGGTGGGGGGGTGGGTTGGGGGGGGGGGCACCTAGAGTCACAAATTTAGATCCACCATCATTAGTTGTATGTTTTTATTTGAAATGTCAAGTTAACCAATCTCTGTTTCATAAGACCTCAATGCAGAATCTGATTTTCCAAAACACAATTCTGTCACTTTATAAAACATTAGATGCCGTTGGATCACATAACAAATGTTGAACAAAATTACAACTCCCAGATTTTCTCAAACTGCCAAGCCTGTCCGCCACAATATACCTTTCTCAGGGTAGGCCATCTTGAAAATCAAAGCAAGGCAAATAGTGCAAATAAACATGGCAGCCTAAAATTGTGTGCCACGGTGTACGAGTGACTCTCGCAAATAACCTGAAGGATATATTGTTTTAAAATATTAATCAATTAAATGACATGCATTATGTGATCATTTGTTCCTGAATCCCCAAAAGCTGAGAATTTACTAGGACAAGAAATTGACTCCTCTGACATTTTTTTTTAAATTCTATCTTTCAAAGATTTTGCCAGACTAAATAGTGAAAGTACATTGAAAACAACAACTTTGGAGGAAATATATGTGAATAAATATATATGTTTTTTATTGATATTATTTAGCTTAATTCTTTACATTTGTTTTATCATAGCTTAAGTTTTTTTTTACATTTGTTTGATCATAAAATTCCATAAAACATACATTCTATAGATACATTTGTATTACACTCATTATCATCACCCAGCACACTCATTTTCAACGTTTGTTTTCGTTGTTTTAACCACTCTTTTTCTCGTTACTTGAGAACAGAGGGAATAAGTAAGTAATATCATGAATACAAAAATTAAAATGGAAATCTGAGATCAAATATCTATTACTTCATTCAAAATTATTCTGTCCTTGCATAAATGTACTCTAATCTTTTTTAAAAAGTTCCTGTACCCTCCAAAATCCAATGAATCTACTGTCAAACCAACTTTCTTTGTTCTAACACAAATTGGGACACATAGTGCTATATGTAGTGGAATCTGGCAACCAGAATTGGAAGATTTTATACTGTTTTTTTAATCCCTTCAGCCTTCAGTGGAATCGGGTGACACATTGGAACCCACAGAAATATATATGTTTTGTTCGTAAAAGGTGGAGTAATTTTAATGTCTTCCTGTGCAGGGCAGGCCGTGAAATAGGCGGGTAGTAGATGACGGTATCACGAGCATGCGCACTCGGCGTGATCTTCGCTAGCCTTTCGTGCACTCTTGCCTCGCATTTGGATTACAATGTAAAAGAAAAGTAAGCATCATTCGTAATGATATTAAAAACCAATGGGGTATAAACAAAAGAAGTAGCCTGATGTTCTATCCAAATGAGTCTATTCTTTTAATACATGTACCTGATTTCACATGCATTATTGAAAGTATATTTTGGGTCAAATCATTATACAGGGTGTATCAAAAAAAGTAGACTCTCCAAAAAGTACTCACCAAATTTACAATTGAAAATTTTCATGAAATGTCTTCGTTTGCATATGTTGGTATGGACGTCCTGCTTCGGTCCACACCAAAATTAATTGCATAATTTCATGCATGACTGAACACAGGCCCGTTTTCCGGTGGGCAATAAAATGTCCTTCCTCCAAAAAATTAAAGGGTTAAAATTGGATGAAAAGTCTTAAACTGTAATGCAAAATGTGAATTTTTGTTTTTCTCCGCCGCGATACTCCAATGAACCCTTTGTTTGCTGCTTTTTGCACTGGGGCAATGGATAGCCTTTCATGTGTTTGTAATCAAGCATGCCAGAGGGGCATGGCATGTTTTTACACCTGATGCGACATGCGAAGGAGAGCGCAAGTGTGCATCCAAAGAAATGGAGTTCACGTAGAGGACTAAGTTGATGAAAAACAGGGTATTAAAATGATTAAATGTGACTTGCTCCTCAAAATGTCCTCTCTAAGGATGCGGGTGGGTAGTGATCACTTGTAAACCACCGCGTGGCCCTCCGACTCATTCTCATACATCCATTGCCCATGTGCAAAAAGCAGCAAACAAAGGGTTCATTTGAGTATCGCGGCGGAGAAAAACAAAAATTCACTTTTTGCATTACAGTTTAAGACTTTTCATCCAATTTTAACCCTTTAATTTTTTGGAGGAAGGACATTTTATTGCACACCGGAAAACGGGCCTGTGTTCAGTCATGCATGAAATTATGCAATTAATTTTGGTGTGGACCGAAGCAGGACGTCCATACCAACATATGCAAACGAAGACATTTCATGAAAATGTTCAATTGTAAATTTGGCGGGTACTTTTTGGAGAGTCTACTTTTTTTTGATACACACTGTACACATCCATACTTTCACACATTGCTGCAAATAGAACTTCGGTTCCTGCCATGTGATATCGGCGACTATCCCAAGTCAGTAATTCACACATTTCCAACGATTTTGTTCAACAAGTCTTCATGTTTTGTAAAACACCCCTGGCCGGCCGCGATATTTTTTTCCGTACACATACATTCGTTATGGGCGTATTTCGAAGTACGTCGAGTTGCAAGTCAGGTTCTCGGACTTTATTTTCCCATGGAAAAAAAATCCTCCAAACCACATATTAGTAAAAGAAAAATGTTCCGAATGTCTGACAAGAGAAATGCGCCACTTTTCATGGTGAAATCTCTTTTTTCCCCACCTGCCTTGATTGGCAACCATAGCCTTTACTCTGTGACAAATGACGCCACCCCAAAAAAAAAAAAAAAACCACACACACACAATTATGGTGTTCCATATGTGCCAACGGCCTCGCATTTTATTATTTTTTTGGCGTCGCATTTTTTTGGGGGGCGTCGCATTTTTTTTTTGGTCGCATTTTTTTGGGGGGCGTCGCATTTTTTTTTTTGGTCGCATTTTTTTGGGGGGCGTCGCATTTTTTTTTTTGGTCGCATTTTTTTTGGGGGCGTCGCATTTTTTTTTTTTGGTCGCATTTTTTTTTTGGGCGTCACATTTTTTTTTGGCGGCGCATTTTTTTTTTGGCGTCGCCTGCAGAAAAATATAACAAGCAACTGTTTCAGCTCGGCTCAGCTTACTTCAACAAAACTAATGAAAGTAGACAAAATAATACTGAAGCTTTCAAAAAGTATTACTGTAATTGTTGCTTTACAGAAAATAGCCTGCTGAGCTAAATGTTGCAGTATTCTAATGGATAGTGATTGTACACAGGGGCAGGTACATAAATAGTTTACATAGTGGCTGGTTTTGAATAGCGCCCCTATTTTGAAAGATGGTACCAGCCTCCCCCCCCCCCCCCTATTTGATTTTACGGAGGCCAGGTGTACGGTGAAAAAAAGTGCCAACATCAGCAGAAAATGTAGCCCCCCCCCCCCCAAAAAAGTGTCCCTTTTTGGTGATGCCCCCACCCCCCCCCCCCCTTTTTTCAATTACGAGAGCCTTAGAATTTTGAATTCCCCCCCCCCCGCACCTGAGTTACACATTTTGCAAGTGGTTACAGCTGCTTTCATGATCATTCCAACCTCTAACTCTTCTAAAGCAGGCTCTGTCTGTGGGCACAGGCGTATTAATAATTGTTTTTGGGTGTCAGAGTAGGGGGGGGGGCGGAGTTAGCGTTATTTTTTTTTCAGGCATTTCTTTGGAAATGGACATATAGCCCCACTTGTGTGGCCTCCGTATTGCTGAGCTGTACGTTTAGGCCAAACGTCTGGTTTTCCAACAGTACTGAGGAGTTTAGTCCAAACACTGGCGCACCCTTTTTTGGCTTTTTTTTTGCACACCACTTTGTATAGTTGTATTCTATGATTTCTCAGCTTTTGCCCTCCGGGTAGATTAGGTAATCTTTGTGCCAATTTTTCTGGAAATTTGGGCATCTTTCTGGAGTCCATATGCGCCAGTTTGGACTAAACTCCTCAGTAGGTTGGGAAACCAGACGTGTGGCCTAACGTACATCGCAGCAATACCGAGGCCACACAAGTGGGGCTAGAAATGGACAGAGATGTGGAGTTTGTTTTACCCCCCCCCCCCCCAGCCACGCCTTGAACAAAAGGAAATAATGTTGCAACCTGACGCTGCTTTTTTTTATTCATATATCATCTCAATGAAGGTCACTCATTGCAAAAAAAAATGATGATATGACATGAATCTGGGACTGAGAAATATTTCCAATTTTGTTAGGAAATAATTAAAACAAATTCTTGACTCTCCAAACACTTTGTACACAATAACTGCTGAAGTAGCGTCACTGCAGGTTGCAGCATTCTTTCCCATTGCGCGAGTCTGCGGTTCTGCGCGATCAGTCGATAGACGCGATATTATCAGTGGATCCATCGCATCACCGGCTGTCGATTGATCATGATGTATCAGTCGAACCCGCTGCCTCAAGCCGAATACAACAATTTTCTTTCTCATCCTACTACTGTGGACTGGACGCGATCGACCGATCGCGTAGATCTACCGATCCCGCTAGTCCCTACATAACATGAATTACACTTTACAGATCCGGGAGGGAGTATATTTCAGCAGATATAAAAACTATTAAACACTTATTCCACAGCACTTTTCCCCAACAGACTATGAATATATCGTTTTTCCTAATCATTATATTTAAGTCGGATCACAAACAAACCTAAATATCTGCAGGATCTAGGGCACTGGCGTACGGTCCCACCGCTGTGGCTGCAGTGTCAGTACTACCGGGACACGCCGTATTCCTTCAACGCAGGCGCGGTTCTACGGGTGGGCTGGGGGGGGGGGGGGCTGCCCCCCCCCCATTTTTTTTTGTCTAGCCCCCCAAAATAAATTCCGTAAAAAAAAAAATGCATTAGCAAAAAGAAGGATTGTGATGTACATGCGAAC